TCATAGCTACAAACAACAGGGTTGGATATGTTCCTATCCCATTCCCTGATATCATGAGCCAAACAGTTGAGGTGTCTAACCTTCTCACTGAATAGCGACCGCTTTACCTGCTCGGTCAGCGGTTCATCGAGACCCGCAAGGATGTGATCCCACTTCGCGATGAACCTTTCAAGTCGCTCCTCTTCAGTATAGAAAGATGAAACACTGCATCGCAAGTTTGAGAGCTCAATTATCCTGAATGATTGCTCTCCGATATTTGCAGCCCTTAAGTGGTCGTATAAGAGAGACTACTCTTGATGCGATTGTTGGAACGTTGAGCGGCTTCGGTGAGACGATTAATCTTATCGATGATTGCAACAGTCTTGATGCACTTCCGAATGGCTGCATTGAACCTGGCTTCAAGGATGTGGTATTTACATTCCCCATCCAGTTCATCAAAGGTCTTTGCCTTCTCGACTTCAGTTAGCCAATTGATGACGTACAGTCCATCATAGCTGTAGGCATTGCTAACAGCTTCCTTCATATTGGCTATCCATACCCTCAGCCCAGCCGCGTCGGGCTCTGGCGGGAGGTCTATGGGAATGCACTTAGTCGCAGCTGTACAGTTCGGATCATGGTGGCTACTGTACCCGCCGCCACCGGTTCCGAAAAGATGCTGTGGAACCTGAGAACTACCGATTGATAACGCACATACAGGACAAAGGCGAGTAGCCTTCGGAATGCAAATCTCACATGCCCTTTTCATGCATATCTTACATTCCTCTATTTTGCTGGGGTCAGGAATATCCCGATCACACATCCGACATTTCTTGTCAGGAGGATCGGGGCCACGCATGGTCGGCGGCTCAAGGCCTGAAGGATCCTTTGGCCTTGTACCGTTGGGATCAAATCCTGGATAATATCCGGTTTCACGTTTATCCAGGGGCACGGGTTGCGTAGCCTTCGGAGGACTCTGAAGGTCAGCCGCGTTGGGTTGACCCCCAGTTGGAGTGTCACGGAATCTGCCAACGGGTGGCCGCAGAGGCGGCGAGTACGACCGCGTCGGGTTCGTCTCAGGTACGCCTCCAGGCGATCTATTCCTGACACGGTTACCATCGGGATCCCTTCTTCTCCTAGTCTCGTCCCTAAAACACGCAAGACAACAGGGTCCCTGGACAAATCCAAATCTCCTGTAGTCATCCTGCCCAGCAGAATGTCTGGTGCAGTAGTAGGTCTTCCCTTGGTCAGGAACGAGCTCTCCCTACAGACTCCGCATCGGGGTCCGTTACGGGAACATTCTTCACACAGGTTCTCTTTAAACGAGAAACAATACTCACAAATATCACCTCTGCATCCCTTGCAGTGAAACTCAGCCATGAGATGATTATATCCATCACCTACGTATTTACATCTGGGTTTACCAGGGTCGCCAGGGTTCCCACCGGCGGCACTCTTCTTCCCCCCTCCTCCTGGGCTTTGCCAATCTGGAGGAGGAGGTGGTGGAGGATCATCATCAGGAGGGCCAGGTGGAGGTGGCCGCTTATCCGGAGTACGGGACGCGGCACGCCTTCCTCCTGTGTGATCGTTCAATCCACTACTTGAGGCCTGGTTTGAGTGCCTTGACTCGAGGGAGTTAATTCTCTGGGCCGTATTACCCAGCACCTCGAGCATTTGCTCGAGCTTACTGTTGAGCGTAGTCGAAACGGCCATGTTATGAGTATTTTGCTTGTCCGTGTAGGATTTGCAGTCCCTTGACTTTATCTCAAGGTTGGCTTGTGTTTCATAAAGTTGGTCTTTAACCCACTTTATGCCGTCCCTATTATTGGTCCAGCATTGTTCGACATCCTGCATCATCCTATCAATCTGACATACCCTAGTGGACAGGTCCTCGATTTTGAGGTTTACTCCACCAATCACAGGATGGTTGGATTGGCTCTCCACTAGAGATCTCTCGATCGCATCAACACGAGCTATAAGCCCGGTTACTCGATCAGAAAGAGATTCAAAAACAGTTTGAACTTGGGTGATGGAGCGGGCAACATCATCATAGCTGGCTCGCTCATTTAGGGCATCGCCTATGCTCATCATGCGATTGGAAACGATCTTGACGCGTTGGCCAAGCTCGGTCACGATGTCCTTAGTCCCTTGTGACAGCTGCATGGCCGCGTTCGCAGCCTGCGTACACGTGCTACTCACATGGACGCATTGGTCGTATTGGCCCTCCACGAGTTAACCTCAGTGGAGAGCTGCTTGATGCATTGATCACTTCTATCATTCCTACGCCCAAGAGGCGATGAATGATCGCACTTACCGAAGAGTCCACTCTCCCTCTTTCAAGGGCAGTTACAAGATCAGCAACCTCGTTGGGTTGCTCCTCACTCGCAGGGCCAACCCTGATCCACGATCTCGAGGAGTGGACAAATCAACCATGATCGGATTAGATCTCGGAGGTGTCCTGAAATCATCTTGTACCGCCGTTGATGGCCGTGGGAATTCGCTCCGATTCGGAGACTGACTCTGATACGGTGCAGATCTTCTGGCATCACGAACAACTGATGGCTGTGGCATGCCTAGACCCTTTGTCACAAACAATTTGGGAATTACCGGCCTATCAGTCCGCATAGGAACTTCAGGCTTCATATCAGCAATGACAACGTCATGCAAATCAGTCGCATTGGACGCTCTAGACTCAGACATTGATTCAACATCGGTAGCGCTGCTGACGGTGTTGTTGTGATTGGAACTTGATGCCATCATGGATTCAGACTCAATCGGAACATCAGCTCCGTCTGTGTTGTCAATGGCGAGAAAGGAAGCCGCATTGGGCGTAGGGCGAACAGGCTGTACATTCGGGCCATTCGACCCATTGAATCCCTCCTGGAATGCTTCGATCCCATCAAGCACGTTAATCAACGTGTCCGCGTTTAGCGGATCTCTACCAATGATCGACGCTGGGTCACCTGATCGACCGCGTCCTGAGTCCCGCGTATTGGGGTTAATCCTATGGGCAGTTTCCCGATCCATCCCCCTAGCCCTATGCGATCCAGTCGAATTTGACCTTGATCGTTTGCTTGGGGTTGGACTGGGATGCAAATCCAATCTATCTACGATATTACGCTCCCTAGGGCTCTCAAATCCTGAAAGTCCAGGGGGAGGGGACATGTTCCTCATGGTCGGGTTTACCGACGGCCTTGGCCTGACGTTACGGCTGGCCACGTCAGGATTGAGATTCTCAATCGACAAAGGTAGCATGAATTCATCGCTTCCAGCAGCCCGTTTTGGTTTGCGGGAAAGATGACGGGGCGGGTGGCCCTGGCATCCATGCGGCAAAATCCATACCAAAAATGTTTCCGTCGTTGGGCCATGAGGCTCTCCAATCGAGCCCACCGGATTCGGTCGGCAGATGAACGTCAAAAGCAACTCCACTGGACGTACCAGGTTCGGGATTACCGAGCACTTGAAAAGCTATGCTACTGGTTGGCACAGGTCTACTGCTGCCTCGGGAGTCACGAATTTCGGACTGACCAATATTCATCAGCTCGGGGAAAGATGAGGATTGAGCTCCAGGTGCAATACCGGGCTCGTCATCATCACGTCCTGAGACGGAATCATCATGGCCAGGACGATTAGACCCACGACCCTGAGAGCGATTAGCTCTTGAGGCATTAGAAGATAGGTCATCAGTGCGAGTAGCACTGGACCTTCCTGAAGGCATTGCTTCGGAAAAAGTGTGATCCGACAAAAAGTCAGGACCGGAAAACATCGGCTGTCCGGGCACTTGGTCGTCATTCACAACGTCCAAGATTCCGGCCTGGCCGAGAACCCACTCATCGGTCACCACATGAGGTCCATCCTCAGTGATTCCCGCCATGAGTCCTACACACTACCCTACAAAGCCTGCAGGGTTCTTAAATAAGGGGTTCGCGGTGCCAACCGAGGACGAATCCTACGGCTGATAACCTGCGAAAGGGTTTGAAACAGAGTTTCGGGATGGATAAAACAGGCCCTAACCCACCAACAAGAAGAGACCACCTTATCCCCCCGGTCCCAAGGGCAAAGCAGTTGCCCCCGGCCGGCACTAACACGAACCAAAAGGGGTGCCTCGTTGTAACAAGAAGGAACCAAGCAGAAGCGCAGCACAGCGCAAAGCAAGCAAGCAAACCAGCAGCAAGCAGCACCAAGCGAGCGAAGCGAGCAAGCGTGCAGAAGCAAAACAAAGGGCGACCTCCCAACTCAACACCCGACCCACCTCCACGAAGACCCGGACCACGGCCTATCAGCTCCGCGCACTTTTGCTTGGAGATGATGGCCAGTGACGCCGCGAGCGAGTGACGAGATGGCAGGTGAGAACTGCCGGAGATTAAACTTGAGCCAAAATACCGCGTTGGGTATTGGCGTACTACAAACTGCTATGATAAAAGTACATGCCCCCAAAAACACAAACAAACAACAAGTAAGTAGCTACTGTACACATGGCCACGTGTAGCAAGCACCGTGGAACCCATGAGAAGTCGTGTATTGTCGCTACATGTGCTCAACAAGTTGTGGAGGGTTCATCTTAAACGGTTTGCAATTGGCCAAGTTGTTGCATTGCAGGTGGGGTCAACCCTGGCGGCGACGTGAACTCAAACCGTTCAATCCAACCGCATATCAGCTTGCCTGCCAATCGGTGGTTTGGGTGTCCTGAATGGTTTTCCATTTACCCAAGTCACCAATCCAAACCACCAACTAAGGGTTACCTGAGTATACCATTCCTGGACACATAGAAGCACTGTGCAATAATCAGTGATGTCACGACAAAGGATCCTGACAAAGGGAAGCCCTTTAGGACCGACGAAACACAGACCGAACATGGAAACCAACGTCTTGAACTGATGCGAACAACCTTGCACACCAAGGGTCATCTAGGGGGCGAACAGACCTACACACATCTTGTTCTCTTCTGATAATGCCTTCATTCAGTTTGAAAGTAACGCAAAACCCCGTTCCTGCTCGCAGAATACCAGTTAAGTCCGAGATGCTCAAGCGTCTCATCGTCGATCTGCAGGTTTTGTTCCACTGCCTGCTTAAACCTAGGCATCAGGGTGACTACCGAATTGTCACCTTTCTGCTGAACGAACTTCCCTGATCAGAACTGCCCAAAAAGTGCGGCCGACTCAAGAACCAAGCTCGCATGGCATGTTCACAGCACAAATGAACAGCACAACGAATCAAAAGGCAAACCCAGGCACGCTCTTCTGGGTCAAGTAAAGGGTACACAACAAATATAAAAGTTCAGATTCCGGTTCAACTCCCTATAGGCAGAACAGAGGGTTCTGAGAAGACGCCAGAAACCTAAGAACTGCGAAGGGGCCCACGTTGACTCAGCTTCCCTCTAGTTGGTGGATTGGTGGTTTCGTGGTTAGTTTGTGTTTTTTTTCCCATCCACCCTCTACAAGAACAGGGGTCAAATACCCAAATCAGCAATCCAACCCACCAACTAAGGGGCTCCCCGAGCCACGTCTGTGGGGTGCCTTAAAACAAAAACAATGGCTGGGGCTTGCAAATCCCTCAAGCTGACTTAGAGGGTCCAGTTGCCCATGTATCCTTCTACTGGAGGCCACTGGATGTGTCCATCCGTCTCCCGCGACAAAGAGACGTGGAAACATTGATTCCGCGCCGCTCGTTCAGAGTGATGGTCCCGCTCCGGTCCTTGTCGATGGCCAAGAAGGCATCCCGGACCTGCAGGAAAGCCGCTGAGTGGAACGAGTCAGAGCTTACCAAGGAACTCACCGGTTGCCAACCCACTGGTGGAACCCACTGGTTCCGTAGTTAAACAGAATCCAACACAAACTGTCTCAACAAACACCTTCAGGAACCCCAAGCTGGGTGACATGTTGGGTGCCTTTCTGGCAGACGCGATCGGAACCCGTTTTGGACACTGTTTAGGCTCCCCTGAATTAGCCAAAGGTTGTTTTGTTTGACATGTTTTACAAGAAGATCTTCAGGAATCCTTCCAGTTTCAAAGGGCATAAATATCGGCACTGTCGTTCATCTGCACGAAGCATACTTCACAGTTTGGAGGCCACCGGACGCGCAGGCGGTCCCCACACCGCCTGCTTCCGCTCCTCGACGCCCAGAGACCAGGCAAGCACACCCAGGCACGCCCGGCGGAACACCGAGACCTGTGCCGGTGTCGGTTGCCGAAGGAGCGGGGGACAGGGACCCTTTAAAAGGGGCACGCGTGTGAGTGGGTGCAGAAAAAAAAGAACTGGCTCTTTCTTGTTTACTCCAATATTGATTCAGAGCCAGAAGTGGGGCATGAACAGATTTTGGCCCTTTTCATGGGGACTAATGGTAACTTAGTCACGTCACCGGGCAATGGCTCTGTGGCTCTGTATGCGGGTGAGTGTCCCCCCATGGCACCCACCCCACCCGTTTTGCATTCTCTCAGTTCGGCGCCCTCTCACTCGTTGGGTTTACCTCGCCCCTTGAAAGCTCAGAAACCGCCCAGCGCACGGCGGAAGCAAGCTAGGCGTCCCTTCGGCCCAGTCTCCCATTTAGCGCAAAGAAAGAAAGGGAGAAAACACACAAAGAAAGAAGTAAAACGCAACTGGGCGTTCAATATGGGGTCTGGAAACAACTTGGCAAAAACAGCATTGTTGAGAAACAGATCCCAAAACCCGTTACTCAGCTACGAGTTCTTCAGCCGAGAATTGCCAATAGGTCACGCCTTAGCGAAGTTGCACAGGTCCTCAATCATGGCTTGGTCGATGGAGTGTGCCTCAGGCTACTCTCCAGCCGTCGGGCTGGCGACTTTCGATGGGGAAATCATGAGGGCGGGTTTGTTCCAGTAGAGAGGTTAGAATAAGTTGGTACCCTTTTTTCTGTAGTCTGTTTTAGTAGGGGAACCCTGGCCCCAAAAAGGGCAAAAGGGCACTGCTGTACTACTGGGGACCTAGTTGAGTCCTCCAAATGGGAAGCCTGGCGAAGGCTCGGCTAGCGGCGACAAAGCAACGCGGTGCTCAACTCCACAGACGTTCTTGTTTCTTTTGCATGGCCCAGGCGTGACGTGGCCGGCAAACCCCAAACAGGTTCATTGTAATGTTTCATGTTGAGCCACTGGGGAATGAGGATGTGCCATCCTTCCAAACGAAACGGACCGGACCTGCGGACCTGCGGACCCGCGGACCTGCGGACCTGGGCGTGGCAAGCCGAGTCCAAGTTGCCGGCTCGGGCGAAAGAGGAGTCCAAAGAAGTGAAGGCTTAAGCCACGGTCGCCCGGAGTTCTGGTGGAAAGGGAGGAAGGGGTGCCTAAAAACACGCCTTAGAACACAAGGGTTTGAGGGAGAGTCCTTCTTTCTTCTTGAGTAGTTGTGCACTGAAAAAGTCCAAACTCTTTAGTTGACACTAAAAGAAGGGCTCCACCTGAAATCACATGCATGTAGAACTCGATGGAATCAGCTAGCTGCTACGTGGGTGGTTGTTGATTCGGCCAAAATGTATCCTGAGCAATGGCCTTTCCAGATGTCAAGTCCAGGCAATCGGGTAGAGCCATAGAATCTTCAGGGTGTGTCGACTCAAAACTCGAGTCGGGGGGGGGGGGTTCGTTTCTTTTTAGACCCAATGCCACACGTTGTTCCCCCATCCCCCCCTCCCAAAAAAAAAACAGAAGGGGACCAACACCCAGGTGGTGACTAGTTTTCCCGCTTTCAGCACGTGACGCTCCAGCACGAAAACAAAATCCTGCCGAGCCGCGTGGTGCTCCCGGGTCTGCAACCACTTGTGCTCCAGGGCCTGCTGACGTGTGCGAGTCCCGGGCCGGCTTTTTTGCACAGGAAGACTCAGTAGACCGCCAAAAAGGCCTGTGCACTTCCATGGTGGGGACGGGATTAGATCCCAAAGTAGGGGGGGGGTGGTCTTGAAACAAATGACGTAGTTGTTGGGGACAATTTTGAGCACGCTTGCATTTACTGGGTGCAAATGAAGTGAACGGCTGTCCAATCCACACATCTTCCAGGGGGTTGACACAGGAACCGTCTTTTTTGTAACTGGGTCTTTGATAAGCATTTTTGCATTGAACAAAAGCTTGCATCCTGATTGAAGCAAACTGACCACTCTGTCCGGGAAACTTCAAACAACACCACCGCGTTCGGTAGGCACGCAATGCATTCAAGACGCGCCTCTACCTGCACACATACTTAAAATGCTGATGCGGTCTTGACGCTCCACCCCCCGAATTGTATCTCGGTTTTCTTCGGCCTCCGCGGCAGAGAGGCGTTGCTGCGGGTCCACCACCAAGAGTTTCTGGACAAAATCCTGGGCAGCTTGACGCGGACGAGGCGCGACTCGATGCGTCTGCGCGTCTTTTTGGCAGCGACGAGCGCGGTGTGCGCGCGAACGTTGACACGGGAAAGGGTTGGCTGCAATGCGGAAGCTGGGGCGGACGTCAAGCATTGGTGGGGTTTGTCAACATTACAAACGCATCCAATCAGGCCGCGGCGCAAGCCAATGCTCGCCGTTTCATCAGACTCGCTCCAGCAAACCGCGCTGGGCTAGGCTGAGAACCGTGAGAACCGGAGAGCGGACAAGCAATGCGCCAAGCAGGATTGTGCGACCGGGCAAAGGCAGGGAAGAGAACCAAACACAAGCTGCAAACCCCTCAGCTCCAATGCACGTGATGATTGCATATATACGGTGCACGGCAGCCGGTGCAAGCACTGCTGGAGATTACGCAGTGTGCGACGCGAAAGCAAAGATAAGAGCGCGTCATGCAAATGAAATAAGGTCTTGGGGCGAAGATCTCCCGAACCGAAGTGAGTGGTACAAGGGGCGTCCTGAAAATGAGACGAAGTAGAAAACGATCCATCCTCCAGCGGCTTCCTTGCAAGGGGTTGCTTCTTGCAATGTTTAGCGCCTTCCGCAAGAACGTGCCAACATGTGTGGTTTCAATGTTTGAGCTCCTTTTTGGATGCCCAAATCTAAGGGATAGCCTATGGCTCTTGCCGGATGATTGGCCCAGCTCGAAAATCGGAACTCTGAGGCGCCCAAAAGCGGCCTCTGGATTTGGTGTTCTTTTCATCAAGGACCTGGATAAAACATGCTAAACTTGCGAGGCCTTGACTGGTGGAACAAAAAATTGGAAAACCAGAGGTTGAGAAGTGGGCAAAAGCTGCTTTTGTCTGGGGCGTACTACCGCCTTTCCAATATGAACAATCGGAGTGGTTTGCAAAACTGCAATCCTCTTCAAAACTGTTTTTCATTTTGTAAGCGTTCTCAAGACTACTTGTCAGAGCTGCCCCAAACTTAGGACGTCACGAGCCCCCTCGCAAAGCTGGCCGCCCAGCCGCTTTGTGGGCCCATCGCATTTTCAGCATGGCCCGACCAGAAATCCTTGGTGCCTACGCCAAAAGAGCACCGGGAACCGCAAGTTGTGAACCGAACCCCTCAACATGCAACTTGCTGTAAACCTAGCCCGCCACAGAACACGCTGTGTCTTGTTTTGCGTGGGACCTGTTTGTTGCTTTGTTTTGTGGTTTTTAACCAAAAGGAAAGCCGACACCATTTTGGGGGTCCACCAAAAACGTGACATCCCCTTTTGCGTTTTGGGTGATATTTGGCCATTGCAGAACTCCGTGCAGGCTATGACTAGAAGGCACACATGTCCAGGTTTGTGGAGCTCTGCCCATATGCAGCCTATGAACTTGGACCCTCAAATCACCCTCAAGAAGTTGATATCGTCCGAAAATGACGGCTTGGCTTCCCACTGAAAAGGGTAATTAGTTTGAGGCACCCTTTTTGGGATTGATTCCATGGGAACCTTCCGAACACAGAAGGAGAAGGTGCCAATTGACTGGAAAGCCTGGCGCAGGACCATCCCCAGGTTGAATTGGCTGAGATTGGGTCGGCGTGGGAATGGCCGGGAATGGCACCGTTCCAAAAGCTGACCATGCTAAGCTCACATAAGCCGCAAGCAACTTCCGATTGACCATTTGGCCAAGCTACACGCTTTTTGTTCGCACCTCATGGTCCTCCAACAAAAAGGGATTTGCCAAACTTGCGCCCGTGGCGCAAAAAGGAAGGTGGTTTTGGAGCAAAAAGCACTGACTGTTTGACCACGGGCCTGATGACCCTCCCGCATCCTGGACCCGTCCTTGGCTCCCTGGGACGCCTTGCCCCAAATCACCTGGGCACCCCGAATTCGGTTGCTCGGCCGAATGGGTGGCTTTTCGAAACAAGGAATTGGACGCTTTCCTTGGCACGGGTTGCTTAACAGGGCTAACCTCCTAAATCAAACGGGGAGAGGGCGGGGTACTGGGTTTGAATATAAACCCTAGTTATAAGTTATAACCAAGTTGCCAAAGCAAGGGCTGGGTTCTGAAGGCGCTCCTTTGGCCAAGTGTCATGAACAAGCAGCCCGCCCCCCCTGAGCACGCCAGCAACCAAACGAACAAGCAATCGACGCACAAAGATTCAGTCAACCAGTCAGCTGACTAAGCAAACTAAGCCAAACCAAGCCTTGGCGTGAACGCAACCCTTTCGCAATCCAGCCTGCTTCCTTGTGAAGTTTCCCTCCTCGCGCCAAAGCGAGCGAGCTGGGTTGAGGACGCTTCAACGCTCGTCTCTCTCGCGGGTTTCTTCGAAACTCTCTCTCAAGGCACTTGACCCTTCTCGGGACGCCCCACTACAGTCCAATCACCTTGTGGCCACAAGGACCCCAGTTGCAACGATGGGTTTCCGTTTGGAGGGCAATTAGATCCAACCTGCAACCAGTGCCATCTGTTCTTAACCAACCGATCCAAAAAGGCCAGTGGTGTGGCTTTTCGCCTTGATGTCTCGGATCTGCTTCGACTCGGCGCCCGAGAAGGGCATGTAGCCTTGGGACAACCCGAGGTGTTTGGTCAGCTTCGTGCTTAGCCCGGTGGTTTCTTGGTGCGGTGGTTTGGAGGTTCGGGGTGGTTTGTCATTTACGCTACGAGACGCAGGGGGTTCAACCTCCCCAAGCCAATCCAAACAACCAATTTAGAGGTCATCTCAGTTGGCACACTCTGACTCCAAGGTTGATACCGGGCAATAACAAGATTCAGAGGAAGGTTTTGGCTACGTACCTTCAATGGTCCGTCATAGCCTCTCACTTTGGACGTATTGTCAAGCTGAAGGCTTTTGATGTGATATTTGGGTCTTAAGTACGGCCGGGCGCATCATCAAAATCAGGTGTCCTCTGTTGTTTGTTTGCATCATTTTTTGGAAAAACATCAATTGTGGGCAACTTAGCCTCCTGGAATTTCCCTGTGAACTTTTTTCAGGTACCTAAACTATGGTTGTGTGTCTTGGGTTCTGTCCGGGGGGCTGGATAAATTATAAAATCGGCCATGCCCGCTCAGTTTCCTCAAATACGCCTCTCAACACAAAGCGGGGCCATCCCTACCATTTCATGGCGCGACCCTCGTGTCGATCTTTGACGCCCTTATCATCTCCCTCGACAACATGGACCAATTTGGGGTTCAATCTGCAAGAGTAAGTTTCGTCAAACATAGGCCAGAGTTGAACATAATATCGATACAAATAGGTTTTACGTCTTTGGCTCGGGTGCCGGGCGGCCTACCTGAGAAAGTTAACCCCGGTGTCATTCCTTTCCATGAACAGACTTAACCAGGACACTTTGCTGGAATGCTTGAGGGACATAGATGTCCTTTTGGTAACCTGGATTGCCCTGACTGGAATAAGACCCATCTAAACTTGCGCCACCCCATTCTCAACAAGCTAAGCTACAAAGGACACCTGTGCTTCGGGATCGAGCCTACTAGCCTGAGCTGGGCCTTTAGAAGAATGTCGAATGCGAATGCCACACAGCTTGCCCAGCTACACATGGGCTGGGGGCTAAGGGATCCCCCAAAATGGTGATTATCTTTTTGGTTTCCCTTTGAACCAACCAAAAGCAAAGGAGTTCGCCCAAAACAGGCACACATCAATGAGCTGAAATCCGGACGCGGTCTTTTGTTGGCCCTTGCAACTCGTGGGTCGCATCCGGGAAGATGAGTTGCCCGTCGCTCAAACAGGCTTCCTCATATGTTGCCCTTAAAGGTCACCCACAAAAAAGGACAGTCACTTCAATTTGGCCCAAAAGTGCTCCGGCAAAACAGGAATTACCCCAAGACACCCATTGGACCGGCACGAGGCGCCACGCCTCAAATCCAGCTCCATTCTCCATCAAAGTGGCTGCATAAACAGAGTAAACATATGAATGCTTTTGGTGAAAAGGAACCTGCCCAACTCCCGATCAACGGCGCAGTGACGCACTAGAGTTCCCTGAGCAAGAGACTCCACGTGAGTTCTCCGGCATGTCAGCTAAAATTCCACAACAAGACGTGGCTCCAACTAAATGGGTATGGGTCAAAATTACACCACCAGCGGACCTCAGGCTGTCCATGTTTCCATTTACCATGTTGGGCACCTGTTTCTGACCCACCCAAATGACCTGCATGGTGACTTCGCTTTACCCACGACTTCCGCCAGCTCCGCAGAGCTGACTGCGAGCTCGCAAAACCGGCCGGGGAGCCGAAGAGAAGAACGAAGGCCACCACCCCCAGACTCCACAGATCGCCTCACATCGAAGCGACTTGGGCGGTTCTCAAAATAAGGGCTCCCCTTTTTGGACTAGCGGGCAACCAGAAGCCCAAAGGCAACGAAGGCTTTTCTCTCCGTTTCCAAGGGACGAAAGACAAATCAAAGCTTTTGACCTCTTCAAACCATGGCTATAAAATGGACCAATTCAGGGCACCCACCCCATTCAGCTTCCTTCGCCCTTCGAGCTCCGAAGGGTTTGCTTAGGAAGTCAACTGGCTGGATGGAAATGTCCCGTGTCGATGTTTTTTGTTTTTTTTCCTTCTTTTTTCGGGGGGCCGAGCAAAAGAATCCTGGGTGTTGCGGTGCTGGCCCCCTACGAATTTGTTCCACCCAAACTGGCCAGATCGGTGACTTTGATCAAATCCCCTCATGGCGGTTAAAGAGGGCGCATCCAGGTCCAACCCCGGATGGGCCTCACCTAAATTGCGAGCTTCCATGAGCTTCCCAGAAGGCACCTTTCAGGGTCAAATGGCCAGATTTTTCATGGCAACGTTGACACAATCCTCCAGAACCAGTACTTGGGATTTCGGTGCTGGCGTGAACCGATTTTTGTCGGAACCACTGGAGGACACATTCACTCAATGCACCAGGTTGATTCATTCATCCGGAATCGACACGAAAATCTTTGCAGCAGGGCAGTCCCGAATTTTGCCCGAGTGGCTGGTCCGACACCAACCGCCCCCTCTTGCACAATGCTTGGAAAAAAACTTTCTGGGTGCCAAACCGGGGGTCTGGGAAAGTCAAAATATATCCATTGTTGGTGCCCTGGGCTATTTGGAAACAACATCGAACATTTGGGTATGTGTCAATCGTTGTTTTTAGGGGGACCCACTCCCCCCAAAACAACACATAAAACATAACGAGAGATGTAATTTCCTCTGGCTTGTCCTTTGTCCTTCGAAACCGCCAAGAAGGTACCCTCAACAAGAAGACACACCCATTTCGTGCCCAGCTTTTCTGCAAATCCCACCCGACCCCGTGGCGATCCGGTCGGAGCGAGCCGCATTGGGAGGTGTAGGACTTCTCTAAGACCTGCTGTTCCGGCGGTCGGCGACTCGGTGACGGGCCCGGTTGAATGTGTTTGGGTGCTTCACCTCAAGTGGATTTCAGCACCTTTTTTCTGGGCCTGTTGAATGGAAACAACACCAAAAAAAGAGAGAAAGAGGGGGCGCCGTCAGCGGTTTGGGTGCTCTCTGCCGAAACAACTCCCAGCTTCCTTCTGTTCGGTGCGACTTTCGGTTTGCAGATAGACAGCAGGCACCCACGCCGCTGCCGTTTGAAATTGTGGAATAGTATGGAGTAGCCTCCTGTTTCAAATCGCAAATGTTTATCACAGCTTGTGTGTTCTTTCATCACATCAGGGGCAAGCACCAGAAGCAGTCGCCGGTCTACTGTTTGACAGGATCGAGAGGCCGAACTGCTGTGTTGGCTCAGCGTGCAACCTAAGGACATAAAATGGGCAAGACGATGGCGGTGGGCAACTGAGATCTGTTGCTTTTTTCCAGTCAACTTATTGCCATATTGGATATTCCCGGGCTTGAAAAAGAATGATGTTGTTTCCCACCCATTCCAGTCCAGCAAATTAGACCGTTTCCATGGTTTCGAAAGCAACCATTCAGCCGGGCGCTGGGCTGCTTGAACAACACTCCGGGTGACGTAAGACCCAGCCCAAATCAAAGAACCTCGTAGTTTCAAAGGTTCCAGAAGGTTTAGGATGATCTATCCCAATGGTAAATAATAAAGTACAGGTTTTAGAAGGTTTGGCATGATCCATCCCCTTTGGAAAATAAATGCAAACAAGTCGCCGTGCCATTTTAGCACCCAGTCGAGAGGTAAAGAGTCCGCAACCCTAATTGTGAGAACCCATGAATCATGCGCCTCTGGAAAACACCAGTGGAACTCGTCTATTTTATTTTTGTGGGAAATACTGGGGGGCCAAGGGGAAATGCAAGGAAGTGCAAGGAAACATCTGGAAAAAAACTCTGTGTTTTTGGACGTCCTCTTTGCGAAAACGCTGGAAAAACAGAGTTGTTTTGCGGGAAATACTGGGGAGCAAAGGAGAAATGCAAGGAAGTGCAAGGAAATGAGGGGAGGAAATAGGAAGTCCACATGTCAGGAAAGCAACGGGAAATGAAAGGGAAACAAAGGGGAATTGAAAGGGACATGACAGGGACAGAAATGAAAACGAGTGCAGGGGGAATGACAGGGAAACAAAGCGCAATGAAACCAATCGGCACGACGGGAGATGTAGGGAAATGACTCGCAACGAAAGAACGGGACATACATGGAAAATGACACGGACATACCGAGAAAATGTCAGGGACATGGAGGGGGAGTTGGAAGGAATGGAAGGGACATGACCCGGACATCACGGGAACCGTGAAAAGGACATGAAGGGGAAATCAAGGGGAACGCCAGTAGTGAGATGACAGTTCAGGGTCATGAAAGGGCAGTGCCGGGATATCGAGGCAACTCAGGGGGGACGTGACGCTGCAACGCAGATATAGAGAGAGAGAGAGAGGGAGAGAGCGGGAGAGACAGAGAGAGAGAGAGAGAGAGAGACAGGGAGAGAGAAAGAGAGACACAGAGAGCGAGAAAGAGAGACAGAGCGGACAGAGACAGAGCCAGAGTCAGAGAAAGAGACAGAGAAAGAGACAGAGAGAGAGAGAGAGAGAGAGACGGAGAGAATGAGCGAGAAAGAGAGAGAGAGAGAGAGAGAGAGACTAGGTCCTCCAGTAGAGAGAGAAGAATTAGGGTACCCTTTTTCTGTAGAGGGGCGTGGACAGGAAGGAGACAGGCAGACAGAAAGAGACAGAGAAACAGAGAGAGAGAGAGAGAGAGAGAGAGAGAGAGAGAGAGAGAGACGGAGAGAGAGAGAGAGAGAGATAGAGAGAGACAGAGAGAGACAGAGAGAGGGAGACTCAGGAGAGAGAGGCTTGGGTGGAATGGGGAGGATGGGGAGCAGAGGGGGGACAGAGGACGACAGAACACACGAAAAAGACAAGGCAGAGAGGAAGAAGGAGAAAAGGGGGAGGACAATGTCGGCGGACTGAGCCGGAGGCTCTAAAGTTAACACATACCCATAATACTCACCTTTGGGGCTCTTATACTGACCACATACCCATAAGCTGGGGCCGCTGTGACCACTTTGGCCTTCTCGCCAAAGTTGCCGAGCTGTTCCTAGGACCCCCCACCACCTCCCCCCCAAAAAAATACACGCACCAAGCCAATGAACTAACCCCCCACTCCCCCCCCAAAAACACCAAACCAATTTGGGTCTTTCCCACCTCGATATATTTGGGGGGGCGGGGTGGTCCTTGAGGACCTCCCCTTGACTCCCTTCCTCCTTGCCAACTGCCTCGGGGGCCACGTAGGCCAAGGTCCCACAGCTCACCGCCATGGTGGTGTTCGGCTGCCAGATCTTGCCTTAGGATCCATTGGTCCCGCGCCTCGTTTTGGGGGATCGGACCCCCGCACCCCCAAATTGGCGGGTTGTCCTTTTGGTTTTCCCCCGGCCAAACACGGGATTCCTACAAAAAAGGACGCACCCAAATGGGTGCCTGCTGAGATGCCTGGCCGTGGAAATATGGTAAATGAGCGATTGGACTTTTGGGTTGCGTCAGAAATCATGAAGAGACTTGCCTGTGAAAAAGTCAAAAGCCCAACCAGGCGCTTGTCCTTTTGTTGGCCCTCAAAATGCCCACCACCCGAAAGGAACCTCCGAGCGGGACTGAATGGGCCGCCACTGACCTGATCGCCCTGAACGTTTTGCGACCGAGGGGCTGAAGCCGAAGTCGATCAGCTTCAAATGGTCCGAGTCCTGGCAAGTTGCGAGCACTTTGCATCGTGCGGCTAACAAGGAACCCCAAAAAACGATCCACAAAGCCGTGGTTCCACTAAATGTGTAGTAAAGGTTTTTGCAGGCCTTACTAGATTATCCTTGTTGAGCCAGGTAGTAAGATCACAATAAAGGGCGGCCAAGAAGGGAGGCCACAAAGGGATAGAGAAGCCAAGGACTCATGTGAAAGATACATCTGGGATGACGGTACCCGGCAGTTTTTTGCAGGTTTCCAAGGACAATTCTCAAGGACATGCTCCAAACATCCACCAAACACCAGGGAATTGGGTAATCTCGAGGTGTTTCCTGGAGCTAGACATGCGAGCCCGAGCTGCACATTCCCCGCCCCCCCCCCCACATCTCCCACCCCTCCTTCCTTCCCATGGACATCTTCTGACATCTTCCCTTGCACACCTTCCCTGGTTCATGTAAACAGTTGTTGCCGGACATCCCCTCCGGTATGAACCGGGAAGCCTTTTCTTGGATTTAAAGGAACATCAGCCACAATCGTGCGAATGTGTTGTTGTACGCGCACACCAATGTGCATTTTTATATATATATATATATATATATGTAACATACATTACATATACACATGCGTCTACACATATTTTTGCCTGGGCATCCTTTCGACAAATACATGTATATATATATATACGTATGTATATTTATATCCCTTTGGGGGACCCCTTGTGAAAAACTCCGATTTTGAAACAAACAACCGGCCGGCCTTCGCCTCATATAAGAAGTTTTCCAGCTTGATGTCGCGATGGACCTTGGACGCGCCACTTGTGGGCCCGCTCGACGGACCCCGGTGGTTTCGCGGTGTCCGGGCAGTCCATTTCCCCCAAACCCCAATCCAAACCCCAATCCAAACCACCAATCCAAACCAATTAAGAGTTACCTGATACTCCTAACAGTCTTCACGCCAAGGATTTGGCGATTGTTCTTGTGGGACCTTTACAATGGCCCCCCCTCGGCTTCCCTTCAAGGGGGTAACCAGAAAAAGGACACAAAGAACACGGTTGATGCTGGTCCAAATCCCGGAGCCCTGATCTGCGATCCCAAATATGCAGCTTACACAGGGCCCACATGCCCCTCATGCAGGTTGAGCAGCGACTCCGTGCAAATGGATGTAGTTCACCGCCAGCAGCATCTGGCCGGGATGGGAGATCACGTAAGCCACGGGATCACTCTTGTGAACCATTGCGAAAACGGTGGCTCCCTTCATCTCGACTGGTGCACTTGGGGGTGTTTCCCCAACAAGTGATCCGGACTAATTGATGGGTCCATGATCATGCTAGGCGCCAGAGAAAGGGTGTTTCGACCATAGATCTGTCTCAAAACGGGACGGTGTCATGATGTCGGCCTTCAGACCGTCCAAGCATAGTGTTCCGAGGCTTCGTCCAGCAGAGACAAACGGACATACACCAAGGCCGTTTACCGGATTTTGAGATGCGGGTCCGGGTCGATGAAACCTGCGATCCTTTTTACGAGTGCTCCGCGACTTTGGGAGCTGCACACGACAGTTGGGACTTTCTGAGGGTTCGACTTTTTGAAATCCAGTTGTTCTGCGAGGGAGCTAGCATCTACCTTTGGGCACCTGTCAGCCAACGATAGACAAAAACCCACGAAGAAATCGGGCCGTTTTAGTGGAGAGTTGTTCTCAAATTAAAACCTTCGGCCAACACCAAACCTTTTCTCCGCAACTCCTCAAGGCGTCCGATTTGAGCCTGCCACCTCCCGTTGCAAAGAAACCAGCAAAGCTCAAACGGACCAGATCCAGTCAACTCGCTCTGGGGCGTACCCATGGAAGGCCCAAAGGCCCAAAGGTGTCAGTTGGGACGCCCAGTTGGCTCCGAGCCCTTGGCTCGGGCCGCAAGTCACCTGTGTGACAACAGTAGGCGTATATGTGTGGCTCTTCCCCTGCGGAAAATCGATGGACCTGCACCTATCCGACAAGCAAAAGGACTTCAAGGGAAAAACCTGGAATGCATCGGTTTTGAGCCAAAGGGACGCACACAAAATGGAATCAGCCTTTGCCAAGCTCAGGCAAGAACGCACATCGACCTGTTCCCGACACCCATCCGCAACCCTGCAAGTGCTCGTGCCTGGTAAACGGCTTGTGCCGCATCCTTCTCAGTGAAGCGCTTCCTCTCTACGACGCCTCTGTCCGCTGAACAGCGAAAAAAGACAAGGAATACCAGAACAGATCTGACTGCTATAAAAGCCGAAGCAAGTAGAAGGGGTGTATTCATTTAAATGGATGTCGCCAAGTCAATAGTTCCTGTCCTAAACAATGAGCATAGCTTTCCGCAAATCCAAGACCACATTTAAGTCATGGCAGGCTCCGAGGCACCCGAGCACGAACAGAACAACCACATGGCAAGCCCCAAGGAGCGCTTGGGTCTCGCGGTTTCAACATTAGCCCGGTCAGCTCACCGAAGCTCGATGATGTTCAAAGCCACCATCACCAGTGGGGGGCGGAAACCTGGGGTTGAGCCAAGGTGATCAACTTGTTGCCCCTGTTGCCTACATCCTGTCGATCGGCTGGCTTCCCAAACCACAATGAAGGGTCAATTCAACTATGCGGGTCCTAGCGGTTAATTAGTTCCATACCTCCAGCCTTAAAAGAATCTGATTGACACTTTCATGCTGGCTCTGAAATCTTGCAGGCCAAGCTACGGTCGAAGAGCTCGCCACCCTGCATGCATTCCTTAGGTAAAAAAGGCGCATCTCACATGGCAAACGAATCGAAGCTATGTGACGCTGAACCGCACTGGGGTCATCCAAAAGGTAGCCTGGCACCCCAGAAGGGAGCTGGAGGGTGTCCATACCGGATGCATATACATATGATGTTAACCCCATAGTATTCTTAAAATAATAGGGGGTCCAAAAGTGATGATTCCCGCACAAAACCCACAGACACACCCTACCCATAACTGGGATTGATTCATCTGGGGTCAACATTAATATATATATATATATATTAATATATATATATATATATATATATATGTGTGTGTGTGGCAAAGTGCGTGTGGCTGGATGGTAAGATTGCTGCCCGAGGCTCCATGACCAAGTACAGCTGCTCCTCCGACTCGTAAACGTCAGTCAAGGACGCCACGTGTGGGTGGTCCATGGCGAGAAAAATCTCCTTAGCCGACTTGGACATCGCGATGCATGTCACGTGGCCCAGTCTAGGCACGCCTTGGATGCTTAACAAAAGTATGGTTGCCTTACCATGTAAAATTTAGGAAGCCCCACAGCAAAAGGTTGGCTTCTTATAACCAACAGAAACGTGGCCCCTCACACACCCATCGATCCTCCCCCCTCAAACCAAACATGAAGAACAAAGGCAATTCGTTGGTGTGTGACTGAAATTAATTGAACCTCGCACGAGTCATGAAAGCCTGGTACCAACAAATAGTGAACCCAAAGCCATGTAAAGAGTTACCAAGGCGGATATCCGCAGCCATTTCTAGTTGGGATTCCATTTCTAGTTGGGATTCTTCCTACCTTCATCTACCCTAGTTTTAATTGTGGCCCACAATGCCGTGATAGCTCTTTCTGTCACCGTCATGGCTGCCTCTCTGGGATTTCTCACGCTGGAATGCTGGTTGTGCTTAACGTCCATCCCCATCCTGAAAGGGTCGAAAGTGACGCAAATGGTCTGTCATGACAACGTCCATCTCAACCTGGAAATATTCGCCAGGCTTGTCCCCTCTGAACAAGTTGACTTGTTGCAAAACCACATGCACTCTCAAACAACTCGAAAAAAACAGGCCTGAAGCACTGCCGCGCATTGCTGTCTATGTGTGCCCTCTCTGGTGGGGGGTGCCTCTTTTCCAACAGCCCCGTTGGCGGATCCATGTGGAATTTGTTTGCAAAAAACCAGCAAGTGGGGGAATACTTGCATCTTTAAATCGGAGGGCCCGGCTTCCGAACCGACCTTTTCTCCCTCCCCCCCCAGGGGCAAACACGCCAGCCGGCCGCTGAGCTGGGAGTCTGGCTGGGTTTCAGGGCCGCCAAATGTCCCCCCCCCAAAGTGGGAGTTTTTCCTTGGTTTAAATGGGACACTATACTATCAAGTCACTGTGCGAGTTGCACGCGCGTCGATTCAGAAACTGGGGAAGAGAAAGTGCCAAAACAAGTCAAGAATTGGATTCCCCAGGATTCCACTTTTTGACTACCCCGAAAATTGAAGATTACTTGAGGCCAGTGGGTTGTGTACCCCAAAAGAGACCCTGCATTTAAGTCTATTGGATAATCAAATAACGGATCCTGGGATTCCCAAGGTCCCAATTGAAGGACTTCCGTCATTCGTCCTCTTTGGCTTGGGCCCCCCCAAAAAAAGAAACTAGAGGACGATGGGCTCTTCCAGCCGCGGAGACACCTTTTTACATCGATGCGGCGAGCGTGTCTGCACGCGGCGATGCTCAATGTGTGGTCACATGAGAGCTCCATCTCATCGTCCTACGAGAGGAAACATTGCAGTGTCTGCGCAAGCTGCATTGTTCCAGGCTGAAGCGCAAGTTGCTCTCTGCAAGCTGCTGCACGCAAGTGGCTCGACATCTGTCTTCAGGCTGTTCTGCGCATGTTGCTCTGTGCAAGTTTCTCTCCGCAAGACGCTCGGCGCTTGTATCTGTGCGCAAGATGCTCGCTCTATGCACTTGGCTCCATGCACTTGGCTCTATGCACGGCTCTATGCACTTGGCTCCATGCACTTGGCTCTATGTATTTGACTGTGCGCAAGTGACTCTATGCAAGTTGGTCCGAGAGCTCCGCGCGGAAGAACCCTTCGTGATGCTTTCGGGAACAAAAACGCAAAGAAGAAGCAACACCAACTCAGGTTGTTTGTACCCACACCTCCCAAATCCACAAACATGGAACCTCACAGAACGGACCCAAGAGAACGGCCGTGGAATCCCACGGCGTGGGCCAAAAGGCCCCCAGGCCTTCGCCGCTTCGCCCGCTTTTTCCGGCGGAGGCGCGGCCTCGCTCTCCAGCTCTCGCCGCTTCTCCTTGCTCACGCCGCGGAGCTTGAAGGCCTTCACCGCGAACTTCGCCTCGAGGCCGTGGCTCAGAAAGTGGTACTCAAAATGGCACCAAAGAGCGAAACCAAAGAGTAAAACATGTGCCAAAATGGCACCAATGCCAACCTGGTTAATGGAACCAAAGAGTAAAACCGGCGTAACCCCTGCTGTTTAATTTGAGCCACGCGGCATGGGAGATGAGTCAAAGGACCGGCATTTTTGTTCAAACAAATCTAAAATGATCCAGTTCAACCGCTGAAACCTGGATTGAATCTGGAAAAACGGAAGAACCGGATGGGTCTGGGGTTGGGAGGACTGGATGTGAGAAACCGAAAAGGAGGACTTTACCGGATGGGTCTTGTCGATCTCGAGTAGATCGGTTTAGTTCGCGTTGACCCCGGATCATGCTGGGTGGGCGAATTTCGAATTTCGACGTGCACGTTGGGTTTTTCAGCAGGACAAAACGCCTCCACCCCAAATGCCTCCAATAAAGATTTGTCGTAGCTCTGGGCCTCTCGGTCGCATCCGTCCCATGGCGCTTTGGGGTGGCTCAATGATCCTCGAATTGATTCATGCATACCCGCGGGGTGTCACAATTTTTGTGGGGAAATGCCTCCCCATTCCGTGCTTCAGAACACTGTCAAACTGCTGTTTGGCCATGACCAAGGGGATTTTGGACATAGGAAAAAGCAGTTGCTAGGGGGAAGCTGGTGGGTGCCCTCAAAAACGACAACCCCCCCAAACATCAGGGGGGGCTGAGGCTTAGCCTCGTCAAAGCCTTCTTGACAGGGGCTGTACGGTCTCACGACCCGGGTGCCAGCACTTGTGCTTGGTTTTCACAGACAAGCCAGTGTCAAAGACTTCTCCCACCGACCCCCAAACGAACCCCCAAAAGGAAATATAACCGTCAAGCCTTATTTGGAGTTTGTTAGTGGTATCCTTAAGGGGTATGTTTCAGGGGTCTTCCAAGAAGGACAACCACCTGACCAAATCTGAGGGTGTGGACCGTGCCTTTGGGACTCGCTATGCCAAGCTAGACTCAACGTGAACCATCGTCTTCCCGGGCTCCGAAGAAAATAAATAAATAAATAAATAAATAAATCCCCTTTTGACATTGCTCACCCGGCTACCCAAGATAAACTCATTCTTCGGCTCGAAAAGTAAGCCGTTCAAGCCACCCGGAAGCGGGGAACTATAGCGCGCTTCCCACATTCAGACCGCAAAAAAACCAACGCGAAAGACTTCGCCTAAACCCGTGGAAATGGCTGGCTCCTTTCTGGGAAGCATCAGCCAAAATGCAGAAATCAACCCGCCGCCTGATATCGGCTGGTTTCCCACCCCAAAACGCCCTCCCCGCCCCCCCAAAACAAAAAAAAGAAGAAAAGAAGAAGAAGAAGAAGAAGGAAACAACAACCTAAAACTAAACAAGAATAACCCCCCGGACAAAAAATGGAAAAAAGAAGACAACACAACCCCCCCCCCCCCCAAAAAAAAAAGAAAGAAAGACAGTGCCCCCGCCAAAAGCACCAAGCCAAGGAGCGCCGGTGTGCGTACAGCTCGCTAGCTTCACCTCGGTTCAAGGGAGCCCTCCGGAGATACGGCTCCGGTGCGCTCCATTCCGCCGTCCGGCGCGCGGAAGATTTTTCTCGAGGCCAAGACACAGTTGACCGCAAGTGAAAAAAGGGAACCCAAGGCTACAAATGTCGTAGAGAGCTCTTGTGTCGGACGCGTGAATGTCCACAAGGGCTCCTAGAAACCACAGGGGTTCGACGTGTCTGGTTGGCAAACTCGCTTTGCGGCTTGAATGGACGTTGCATGACGTTGCCTTCCATACCATAGCTCTCCCAGGCAAACCCTGACCAAAGGAGCGTCGCACGCTCTCATGAAAAGCCACCAACTTTCCGAGGGCAAGGGAAAGCAAAACCGACTGAGCCTCATCCCCTAAGCATAGAAGCTAACACTTGTTCTTTGCCTTTAGCCTTGCGGAAAAATTGAACAGTTGGCTCTTAGGGCAGTGCAGAAAGCACTTGGAAAAGCCTGATATTGACACACAAGAGCTGTTTGTCCTTGGATTCCCAGCTGCGCGCGCAACCGCGGAACAAACGTGTAGCAGCATCTCCTTGCAACCTGCTTCGAACTTCCTGTTGATTTAAATCTTTTCTTTGATCATCACTTAGTCAAGGGCAAAGATGTAAGATGGTCCCAAAAGTTGACCCAGAAAAGGAGTCCCCCCCCAAGAACGACTCGTTGGAACCGCCTGTTGGAAATCTTTCGAGCGCCGGGAGTGCGCCCCGTCCCCGCGCCTCACCGTTGTAACCGGTGCCCAGCACCTGCACAGAAAACGAACGAGTGAACGAAGAACTGTTTCAGAATCAATACCAGTTTTCTGGGTTGCTGTTGACCCCCCGCAAAAAGTTTAATGTCTTGGGGGTTGTGGAAAACCCCTTGATTGCCCAAAAAGTTGAAGTCTAAAGATCCAATCCAGTAGCAGTCCAAGTTTTTAACATGTCAAAGCCACGTAAACAAATCGAAAGGGCGGAAGATGGCGGAAGCTCGAACCCATTCAACAATTCTAGTTGAGATTGCCCCTTTCTAACCTACACACACATCTCAAAAAGCCGAAGCCCTCAAAACAAACGGTCGCGGGTGGGATTTGCCAAGCGGAACCTCGATTCTTTAGATGGGGACACGTGCTCTCTCAGGCGACGCATGCTCCGTGCGTACCAAGGCCCGACTCAAACCAGCGCCTTCCCAACCACTGCCTTTTGGACAGTACCAAGGGGATTCGCATTGGCAATGCCGACCCAACGCGGACGGCAACCAAGACTCAACCCAACCCAGACCCCTCCCCTTTTCCACTAAAACGGCTCCAAATGACTGGCGGTGTTGAAACAAACTTGGTGGTTGGCTTCCTCCCCACATTGTTGGTACAAACTCATCTCGAGAGTTCTATGGAATCCCCAAAATGGCCTGGTAAATGAAAAAAAACACCTGCAATTTGCCCTGGCTCTTTCATCTTGAGGTACACCCCTACGGTGGATGGACGAAATCCTGCACCACGTTGAACAAATGGGAATATTTGTCTTTGGTATTTACAAAAAAATCATATGGAATCATGCTTCCAGGGTTTCCTAGAACTTTCCTTGGTGCAGAATTTTTGTCCATCAGTATGTGTTTCTGCAAAACCGGCAAACCAAAAAAAAAGAAGAACCGCGGCGTGCCGCGCCTGGGGCAAACTTCGGTAGTCATCCTCGATCCGCTTCGGGAGGCGATGGTACCGGCCCGTGATGTTGAGCCTCCGCTGAATCGGACAGCAACAAAAAAACCCGCGGGGTGCACCGCAAATGACTTGCCGTCTCCCAAAATGACGAGCAAACCTATGCATCTCGAAGAAAAGAACTGCACAGTTCGGGAGACACGTGCATAATATATATATATATATGTCTACATGTGTATATGTATACATGTGTGTGTGTGTGTCTTTGTTCGAGGCTCGCAACCTTTTTTTGGGGTTGGTTTAAGAAGGAAACCAAAAGGAAACCACCCAAATTTCGGACTTTATTTGGGTCCCAGCGGATTTTGACGTGCACATGTAAACTTCCTATTCTTGGAGGGATTCTTTGTTGGGGCTGGGATGTGCACAAAGGCAACCAACCAAACCATTTGTGGGGTGACAGGGGCGGGCCCGTGCCATCGCCACTTGGAGACTATTTTGCAGCCAAGAAACCTAAAAACACAACATAACATACCCTGAAAAATGGTGGTTGCAAAATAGACCCTCTGTGAGCAGTGTGTTTTCTGTTGTGTCGGGCCTAAGCATTTTTTCACTTGCTTACACAATGCCCACGCCGCCTACGCCAAAAAGTGTCCATGATACGGTCTCTTTGAGACGGCCCCACCTGCCGCTGCGCTCGGCAGCCCTGATGGTCACCAGGTTCAAGCCGTCCGGCTCCTCATTTTCCCTGCCGTCGAGTTGTCTCTTTCATTCGCGTCCCAACCGCTGCCTTTTGGGACACTTCGGATTTTGGACACGGGCAAAAGCAGTTCTTGGGTGCTGGTTTCGGAGTCGGCTTCTCCCTGCGGCTCCGTTTCCGTCAAACCGTTTGGAGTCTCCCCGTTTTTGGAGTGTTTTGAAGGGAAACCAACATGAAAACCAAAGCCGTTTTGCGAGTCTCGAGCGCCTACATTTGTGTGTTTGTTTTTGAGGATCGGTAATTACCCTGTTTGGGGGTCGGTTCAAGGAGACACCAAAAGGAAAGTCACTATTTGGGAGAGTCCCAAAATGGTGAACTCGCGCGTTTTTGCGTGTGCCAACGGGGCGCCAGGGGTAGTTACCTCTGGTTGCCTGGCGGAGGCAAAGTATGTACACCAAACGGCACCAGCCAGGGGCCTTGTTAGGTTTTGTGGATTCTGGCCGACACCCGGAAAATCCCACGCAAGCCGCGAAAAAGGTCTTTTTTTTCGGTTTTTTCCCCCAACTTTAGTCTTCAAACGGTGGTTCTTAAATGGACCAGCCAAAAAGGAGCCTGAAAAGCCAGGCCTTTTGTGTCTGCGGAAAATCACACTTCAACGAGTGGAACGGCATCAGGATGCCCCCCAAAAATACTTGATGAAAGAGGGCGGCACGCTCGCTGACCAACCTGTCGACCTCCAGTTTACCTATGCCGGGTACACAACTGCGCATCTTGTTCGACGAACCTGGGATCCGCGCTAGGCCCTGCTGGCATGCCAGGACAATTTGAAATACTCCCAATTGGGTTGCCCAACAAACCTCACTTCCTGGCCTAAAGCACTTCACCTGATTTCCGCCCAGAAAAACCTGGGTCCTGAGGACCGCCATGTTGAAAATCATTCGACCTGGTGCAAAACAACTAATTCGAGAAGTCATGCTACAAGGCTCGTTGGACTGGAAAAACATGGAAGCACCAAACGCTCACATCCTTTTCTTGAAAGACCTGTTTTAACCCGCCCCTTTCTGAAAAATAGCTTGTGCTCTTCTCTTGTGGTGCTTAAATGTCCCGGGAATCCTCAAAGTCCCCTTTTCCCACTACCCCAACAAATCAACAACTCACATGGCCCAAACAGCGGTACCTTTGCATCACAGACCCTCAGGCGGAAGGCCTGTCGGTCTTGGGCTTGTTCGGCGTGTCCGGCGAGGACTTTCCTTTCCTCAAATTGCTCCAAAGGACCTCTTGGGAATTGTCTTCTTTGGACTTTGACTCAAACATCTTCCCACACCTCCAGAAAACGCCAAAACTCCAGGACGCCCAAAAAATAACATGGTTTCCGTTTCTCTCCCGCTTTTCCTGAACAAAAAAGACCAAACATAGGCAGACAAAACAGAGCAAATAGACACGGCCATGCACTTTGGGCTCAGATTCTTCTCCATCAGCGCCAACTTCATGGCTTGGGCTTGGCCCATCGCCCGTCCGTCGGCGCGGGGGCTTCGGCTGAAGCTTCCTCCCCCCTTCACGGCCGGGCGGAAGCGCGGAAGCCGGCCGGGGGGAAGGGGATGGGAAGCCTACGGTGGGAAGTAGGTTGCTTTGCTTCCAAAAAACGGTTGCAACAGTTGCGCCCCAAAATGACAAAACGGACAATTTAATCGGACATCGACATGGGCACAGTGCTTACAGTGGGAACTGCAGCGGGTTCACGTGAAGCTGACTGAAATCTACATATGGGAAGTTTACGGTGTTTACCTTTCCCAGCTTGAGTGTCAAGCTGCGGGCGGCGGCGTCAGAACCCAGCAACTAACTCCACCCCTCAACCTCCCTCCTTGGAAAAGACCAACATCAGCTCAAAGTGACATCAGCCAAGTCGAGATCTGGATGCTGACACTTTGAATTTGTCAAGTTTAAAAGGAAAATCTACCAACCAGATTTGAAAACAGAAGTTTTTACAGTGAATGTTCTTTACCAAGAACGTAAAAAAGAAAGGCCTACCAGCCCTTGAAGAAAACATCTTTGAAATTGAATGTTGCTTAACAGGAACTTTGCAAGGAAAACCCTGCCACTCCTCTGCAAGCAACAGCTTTGAAATTGACTGCTTGCCTAAAGGAACTTTGAAAGGAACAACCTATTGGCTCAAATCTGGAAAGCTTTGAGACATTTGAACAGGAAAAGCTTGCTGGCCAAAGTCTGGAAAGCAACAGATGTTCAATTGTCAATTGAATGTTATGTTTTGAAAGAAATTAGCTTTGAAAGGAATAGTCCAGCAGTCCAATGGAAGCAACAATTTGAAATCGCCTGTTGTTTGAAGGGGTCGTTGAAAGGAAACGCCTTCCACTCCTCTCGAAGCAACACCTTGACGTCGAGCTTGTTTTGGAAACCAAAGCTTTGACATTAAAGTTGCTAAAACGGAACTTCCAAAGCAACCGACTGCCAACCCAAATCTGGAAGCAACAGCTTGTAACCAGAGGAACTTTGAAGGCGCCTCGCCCACTCCTATCACTCTCAAACTCACTGTTGAAGTAACCCTGTTGAAGTACAAACCCAAGCCTCTGGTGGGGCACTGGCTGGTTTTAAAGGAAAGCCCCTCTAACACAAAAAGGAATCACCACTTTCTGACTCGGGCATTTCCGGGGGCCCAGTCACATTGCCTCCAATTCATCAACTGGGACACCGATACTTCCTTTCTCATAGGGCCCTGCAAAACAAATCCAGCCTGGGCTTAAACCAATGAGCCCTGGAAAGTCAGGTGCCCAGAACTTTCTCTGGACGCGGCCCGCACCCGACCTGCACTGAGGTCCCATGTGCTCAAAAACAGACGCGCCATGGTCAAAACTACTGATGGAGTCCATATGATGGTTACGAAGCATCCCTCCTACCAGGTGGATGACCTAAGCCCAAGTAAACATGCCGCTTGGCAAGGGCACATGCATGCACTTGTGTATCTGCATATGTATGTATAAATAAACATGCATAAATACAAATATGTTTACTCGTATATATGTATACTAGAGATATGAAACCATTCTGATGCAAACGTGTAATTATATTTGTTTTATCTATTTGATATGCATCTACTTAGTGAGTTGGTTTTTAATCTATTTATTTTCGCGTTTACTGGTTGGTTGATAGGTTGTCTTTTGCTTGGTTGATTGAATGGTTCATTGAGTAGCTGGTTGGTTGATTGATTGGTTGGTTGGTTTGGTTGATTGTCTGGTTGACTAATTGGTTGATTGATTGATTGATTGATTGATTGATTGATTGGTTGATTGGTTGGTTTGTTGGTTGGTTGATTGGTTCATTCGTTGATTGGTTGGTTGATTGATTGCTTGATTGACTTTATCACACACACACACACACACGCACCTGTGACCGTTTGCCCCGCCCTTTCCCCGAGACCGCTGGGGGCTGAGCCAAGCTTTCCATGATGTCGTTCACCCCGCAGATCAACCTTGGCGCACAGCCCGTTCCGGACCGATGATCGGTGCGCGCAAGTCGGTAAGCAAATGGTTCACACTTCCGCAAAACCAAAGAAAGCCAAAGGAAATCCTAAATAGTATTTTCTTCCTTCTGGTCCTCTCTCCCTCTCTCGCCATCATCTACTTACCTTCTTCGGTTCCATTTATCTATCCTTCTGCTTATCTATCAACGCGCCCGCAAGTCGCGCTCCAAACCGCTGCGCTTCGCTGCACGAGCCTGCAAAGTACGGCACCGCCACGAAATGAATGATGAGCACTCTGTGCTCAAAAAGCTGCGCCTGCCACGCAATACAGTGCTCTGGTGAGGCGCGCTCCAAGATGCTGCGCCTTTCGCACAATTCAACGTGTGCACCCTCCAATGGACTGCGCCTGCCAGGAAATCAAGACGTGCTCCAAAGCACTGCGCCTGGCACAAAGAAACTCGTGAGCCTTCGAAGAACTGCGTCTGCCATGCAAATCAACGCCTCCAGCTGGACGTCCTCCAAAGTGCTGCGCATGCCACGGAGATCAAAACGGGACCCCCGCTGCCACGCAATTTGATCACAGCTCAAGCGCTGCGGATGTCACGCAAGGTGAGCTTGCGACGAACTGAAATATGTTCAAAGTAAAGCGCCTGCTGCGAAATCCAACTTTGAGACTGAGACGCGTGCGGCGCGTGTCAAAAATTAGTGCGGCGCCAAAAACGGTTCGATCGATTTGGCCAAACTTTGGGCTTGCCAAGATGAGGCAATTGTCGACAAGGCCAACCAAAATGAAACTTGCTGGCAAACGCTTGCGCGCGCCTGCCAAGCAGGACGCCTCAAAACGACCACCCGTACACGAAATTCACAATGGCAGGGCGACGCAAATGTGCAACCTTCCAAAACACTCCTTGCGATGCCCTGGCGATCCATAGGGTGTCAATCAAACTAGGGGACCCCAAACTGGTGGTTTTCCTTGCGGCCGAAAAAGGCACGCGCGCACACACGCACACACACTCGCATGGATGGCAGCTGTGACTGGGGCTCCCGGCTGCTCAAGCTCCGCTAGAGAGTCCCACACCGACTTCAAATACGCGTCCTGGTGCGCATTCGCGAATAAAACATCGGCCACTTGCTTCAGGCAGGGTCCGACCAATCCGGAGTTGTTGTCGACGTGCCCAATGGACCTAGAAAAAGAAAGGTGAAGCTTTGGGGACCTTGACGCAAATAGACCAAACAGGGGGCAAACCAAAATGTTCAAAGGTCGCTTTTGGGCAAGTAAGGTTTGCTTCTTCAAGGGGCTCTGGGTTAAACTATGCTTTGCCCAACCCCGGGCTCCAGGCTTCGGGAAAGGACGCCAATCAAAGGTGTTGATGGACCCTGGGCATATTGCTATCTTGGGCCCCGTGGCGGCCTTTGTCCAATAATACGGCACCAAGTAATGCTCACACATTCCGCATAAACAAGGCGAAGCCAACAATTTGCAGGATACTTTTGGTGTGGAAAGGGAGCCTGGCTTGGGCTATTTGCGGCGTCGACTCGGCTCAGGCCCTCGCGATGTTCATCGAGGTCCAGGTCAATGTCACCATCCCCGGCCTGGCGAAACTCTCTGACCCGCAGCGGATTCCCCAACAGAGCGGCGACACGTAACACAACGCGGCGAGTGCACCCCCCCAACAGACCGCAAAAGCAAACTCGGCTTGTGTTTCGCTGGTCTTCTCTTAAAAGGGTCCAATGTCCAAAGCGCAACGCTGTGGGGTGAGGGTTTCCTTGTTTCCTGGCCATGTCGCTGTGCTCATAAAGACTTTCCAATCCAAACCTCGAAAAGGGTTTGCACCCCAAGGGATGCAAAACCCCCTCTCCATGATGCGCACCAACTTGGCCAGACTTAGCCTGAGGGCAAATGCAACCTCAAGGTTCAGCTTTTTAGTCTGGCAATGAACTATTGTTTGAGGTCCTTGTTTGGTACCCGTTTATTGCCTTTTTGTTGGTCCAATGGAACATCCACTGTTTCAACCAAAGAGTTGAAGTCCAAAGATCCAACCAAATAGCCATAAAGCCGGCTTAAGGGGAAACCGCTTGCTCACAACCCAGCGATGCCTTGCCGGAAAACACCTTTCTCTCTCAACTTGAGCCTGGCCTGCTAAAGGGGTCTCATTGATTGATTGGGCATCATTTCCCCTGCGTTGTGCTCAGGGAAACCGAAAGGAACAACAAAATCTATTTTGGGGACCCCCCACCAAGAAGGCCTGAAAAGATTGTAGAATTCTCAATCCCCCTTTTTTATTTCTGGGGAAGTTAAACAATATGTTCTATTTAGCACCCAACGACCTTAGGCCGAAAGGAAAACCAAAAGGACGCCGACCGAGTGATTTCCCCGAAACAGCTCCCCTCCTGAGCTGCAGCTCAAGGTGTTCCAAGTGCGGCTTCAGCAGGTTGGCCGTGATGGGCCTTGGTTCTGGTCATGTGTCGCCCCCTCTGCTTTTGTGTTTTTGTTCTGGTCCTCTCTGTGCTGTGTCTTGGCGCAGGTGAGTGGGCAATCCTTGAGCACCCAGTTAGTTTGTTCTTGTGTGATTCAAGCATCGACTTTCACTGACTCTGTTCCACATTTGGCCTACCCAAAGCATATACTATGGATTGTTGGAGGAGCCAGAAAAGTTAAGGGTTCAACCAAGAATAGCTCTAACTTTTCCCTGACCCCCAGACCAAAACTCAGGGAAGCTGAGAGGGCGGTTTCTCCCCGTGCCCCCGTGCCAGAAGAACGGCCTGCCTCTCCCTTTGTGTTGGTACTACATATTCCGGGCAGTCGAGGAAGCAACCAACAGGAGACCAAGCTTTTGGAGACCAACCGTGGTTTGGCCCCCTCCGCACAGAAACAAGAAAGGAAGGACCCGGCGCCCTAACCACCATGTCAGTGCAACACGGTTTCGCCCATGAACCTGTCTTTAGAATCTGGCGATGTGCGTGGTATCAGGCAACTTCCCCTGTGTGGCTCGGGAATGCTGACCGCTGACCTTTCGGTGCCTGTCACCTGAGAGGGGGAGGGACAGGTTCCCTGCTGATGTCTGGTCATGTGTCATGTTCATTTGCTGCCGCAACTGTAACGTGCAACAACTTTGAAGCCTGGAAGAGTTGCAGAACAGTAAAAAGTCAGAGTCGAAAACTCTTTGGCCTGGCAACAGCCCAAAGCAATTGTTTGCCTCGGCGAACTCATGGCTACGACCCTCCAACCGACGATAAACAGCTTGGGCGGCCCGGCTTCACCAGCTGTGTGACCTCGCAAAACGCGCGTCACCCAGACTCCGCTTGACGGGTTTGCGGTTATTTTGTGAGGATGGAGGTTGACACATGGCTGTGGGTCAAAAAAAAGCACCCAAAATGGAACCCTGGTGAATGGAAACATGGACTAAAACTAGAGGTCAAAGATCACGGGGTTCATCACCGGTAGGCCCTTAAAGGACCAAGGATAAACACCAAGAGTGAATAACAGGTGCATAGTCTGCAATCAGCACCTTTGGATTTTGGTTGCTTCATTCCAGTTCCAAGGGCCCCTGACTTCTTGAAAAGTCCCTTCGGCGTGAGTCAATAAGGTGTTTGTGCCTCCGCCGGATTTTCCCAGTGTGCACAGTTTCGGGTTTCCCCATGTTTCTTCTCAACTGGCAGGGCGTCACTTTTTTGCATCTGTCTGGAAGGAGTGCCCTTGAGACCTGACAGGGAGTTCGCCCGGCAATTTTCGCCGGGGTACGTGTCAGTGGGCGCCGCTCTGCCGGAAAATCTTCTGCAACATGTGGGCCACGTTGCAAACACCAGCAAACGATGAGTATTCACACACGTTTATGCAGCGGGTGCCTTGGCACTTGGAGCAAGATCAATGGGTCGCTTGCCAATGGACCTTCAACCCAGCTACCTGCGTGCTTGGTTCCATGGGCACTGCGTGGTTGCCCCCCTTGCTGGCTTTCCTGTTGGCTTCCCAAGAAAGAAAAAGCCCAAAAGCGACACTCAAAAACACATCCATGCATATGGTGCTTTTTGTTTGGTGTGCGCTGGTTGAATCAAAAGGTGAGGCAAACAATGGAATCTGCATGAAACATGTGCATATGCCTCACTGTTCGATCTGACAGTGAGGAGTGCTTCCAACACTTGACCCTGCTCATGTTTTTGTTTAGCTCGCACGACTCCTTGGAACCGGGCACGCAACAAGCCAAAGCTCTTTGGGGAGGGCTACCCGAGAACTCTCAGACGGATGCTGGTCCCAAGCAGGGGCCCTGATGTAGAGAACCGGAAGGTCCTCACTAGGGAAACGGGCCCAAAACACCAGGGCTACGTTACGGCTAGGTTCAGGGGTTCCGAAGAAGGGATGCCATCCAAATACCATCCTCTAAAAATATCAGCTGGTAGTTGAGCGATTTGTTCACATGCCGTTTGAGGGGCCCTGGTGCTGTGGGTAGGGACCTGGCCCTGGTTCTTTTGGGCCCAGCATGCCCGAAACCCGTTTTGATACCAACAAGCTCAAGATGTAAATATATGCTTCGCTATAACCCCATGTTAACCAGTAAGAACCACCACCAAACATGGATCGCGACCTTTTCGCTCGGCGTATTCGGGGTCCACGGCCCGGCGGTACTCCTGCAGCAAGAAGTTCAGCTCGCTGTAGAAGGCCTTGAACCTCGGCCGATTCGAGGTTAACCCGCAACCGGGACGAGGCAAAAAGGGGTGGCACAGTGGGGAAGCCCTGCTTGAAAGCGCCCCAGCCCAAAAGGACCCAGACATAAGAGGTTGACCTCCTGGGCCATGACAAAAATTGAAACCAACAGGTCAAAAGGTCGGCTTTGGACCATTGAGGAAAACTACTCTGCACATGTTTCTTGGCTTCCTTTAGTGGTTGCAAGTGCCTGGTGCAAACACACTCTGGCCAAGCTCAGCATATCGGTTCGAAGCAAGCGACAAGTCGACGAGGTCTGCAAAACCATGGGGCTTGCAAGTGGCTTAAAGCGCTTTTCTGTGAAACCAAGTGGCCCATAACTTGAGAGTTTCAGGTCCAAAAAGTGCTGCTCTGGGACTTGTGTTCGGAAATCAGACCTTCCTTTTGAGGGATTCGCAAGGTTTCGGGTTCTCAAACTGGCCTCGAGATAAATCAGGAATTCTACTTCTCATACTCGCCCGGAATTCATCGCTCCCCATGTGGGTGGTGTGCCTTTGGTCCGGTGGGAATTATCATTTGACATTGCAACCTCATATCAGCAGGGCATTTTCGGATGGCACGAGTTGGTCGTGTCATTCAAGACCCTGCCTGTGATTGATGCATGTATGGGCATTGGTATGATTCAGCGGTTCAAGGTAGTCAACTCCACTGTCGGTGTCTGAATCATTGGCTTCACTGACACGTTTTTGTTGCAGCAAATGGGGATCCACAACCAGGGCAGCTAACTGGGGGACCCATTTGGAAGGAAACTGATCATAGGTGGCTGTTTGGAAAATGGATGGCCCTGGCACAACCCAGGCCACTCAAGAGAGAAGTCGCAGAAAGTTGAATGGAATGGTAGGCTTCCCATTGAATTCCATGAAATGCCCCCCCCCCCCCCGCCCCAAAGGGGGCATATGTTCATAATACACTCGAAGGTGACATGTTGTTTAAGCACGGCCCGGGTAGACACAGGAGGTGAGCCATGCCCACATGTCCCTTCGAAAGAGGGGCAAAGAAGAAAAGCAACATGGGTCTGTCTCAACTGAGCAGTCCTGAAATCGTATGCTGTATGCAAGGGTCTCAAGAGGGCTTCTGCACTCGGATTTCCCTTTCTTTTCCCAAAGCAAGAGGTCTAAAAAACCTAGAAGTCTTGCAGTGTTCCACTTCGACTTGTGGCCGCAGGCGCGAAGGGCGAAGGGCCTCAACTGAAGGCACGCACAGCGCACGGCGCACAGCTCCCCTTTTTGCTGCTCGCCTTCACTAGTTGTCTTGCCCGCCTTGAGTGGCGCTCAACAATCCCAACCGGCACCCCCCCAACAACTGCAGTCCCCCGTGTCCCACAACTCCAAGTACTGCCAAAAAGCAGTGGTTGGGGGGGGTGCTGGAAAGGTGTCCAAACCAGCTTCCCTCTTGATTCCAGGGGTGTGTCCCTTTACCAACCCATGACTTGAGCCCTCCCAAGGCGAGCGTGATCGGTCCCCCCTCGCTGGCGACAGCTGCAAGGATCCGCGTGGATCTGGCGGTAACTCAAGACATGACAGCGACCCCGGCAAAACAACCAAAGGAACCCTCAAACTGATTGGTTGGCGTCCAATTGAATCACTAGGATTTGAATACATTGAGTCAACGCCAACTCCCCTACAAATTAACCTGGAACCCAACAAGGGGACACATCCCCAAAGGAGATTCCTCTAAAAAACTGTTGGGCTCCACGATAACCTGCAGGCTACCCCTGATTGAGGCTGTTGGGGCTGCGGAATTGTCACCCCAACCTGTGGACCAAATTGAGCGTTGGTCCAATTCCAAACCCCACTAAGGGGAATAGGGCCCCTTAAAGGAACATCCGTCAAAGGGACTGTCACCATGCACTGCTGTGCAGGGAATCCTCCTGAGCCAAAACGGGAAACAGAGTCGGGCGCGCCGAGGTTGTGCAGAAAGGCCATCGGTCCGCGGATTTCGCGGTTCGCGACGTGCCAAGTCGCCCTGAGCTTGCGCACCGCGTGGCGTTCAACGCGACAAACCTACCTGGAAAGGGCTTCTGTCAGGAATCATCTACAGCCCTACTTCAAAATCACTCACCCCCCTCAAACTGGATGAGAGCCGTGTTTGACTTAGCCCTGACATGATTATCATGATTCTAAGACCCCCAGAAATCTGCATGGCTGCGTTTGCCACAGGCCCATGGCCGTTGGCAGACTGTGACAAGGAAGCTCTCCAAGCGCTGAGTTCTCCAAAGGCAACATGCGGAACATGCCGCAAGGGCGCTGGCTGAGGTCTGTTAGACCCCCCCTGGTGCAGGTCTATTGGTGCAAAGATCCGCACCAATGGGCAGCTTTACCATCCCTTGTGCGGATATCTTCCGTTTTTGTCCGGGGGGTCTAAAAGACCTCACTTGTCCAACATGCAGTGCCGAGAGCAAAATCTGAGCCTTTGCTGCCATCAAATTGATCCACATCTATCTCTCTCTCTCTCTCTCTCGCTCTCTCTCTCTCTCTCTCTCTCTCTCTCTCTCTCTCTGCAGGCATCCAAAGTTCAACTGACGTCTCAATTCTCAATGGCTGCTCCAAACAGTGCGTCGAAACTAGGGACTCTTCCAGCTTGCGTATCTTCTTTTGAGCTTCCTTTCAAGACCAAAGCTGGCCCCAGTGTTTTGTCTTCAGCCAAATTGGCGTTGAAGACCCCCTAGAAACAGTGAAAAATAACGGGCTGAGAAGAGTCCCTAGTGACACCTCCCCAAATATCGCACATTGACCTGCCGAGGGCTTCTTTTGTGGGCAGGCGATGCAGGCGGTTCAGAGTCTACCATAGACTACCCATCTAACCCCGAGCTCGAAGGAAACCATGCGAGGAGCAAATGTACATGCCGCATGAACGAAAGGGATACTCTTGTTTTGTTGGGTTGCTGCAACCAGGTTGCTGACCTGTTTTGATTTGAAGCCTGTATATGTTGATTGCTGCATTTGTCTGAGCTCCACTGAGTGGACAAAGGAGCTCACAAACAAATGCACGTGTCGCGGAAGTTGGCTCACACGTGTTCCAAGACCATCACCCCGCAATCCGCCCCGGCCAGCGGCCGGGCTGCTGAAAACTCGTTCCCACCTGGGCTCTCCACATGGCCGAACTGCCAGGAACTTCGGCCGCGATCTCGTCCAACGCCGAATGGCCACGTGGGGGAAACCTCTCGAAGGCGTCGAACGCAAGGCTGACGCCCATTGGAAAAGCAAGGCTACGGCACAGGCTCGCGCCGAAGGCATGTAAAAACTGCTGAATGGCCTCTGAGTCTGCAGTTGCTTTTATGAGAAACGCGCACTGACCCTGCAACCCTGCCAACCCGCATCCCTCTGACTCCCTCTCCCTCCGCTCACACTCACACTGCAAGTTGCGTCCCGGCTCCTCGCCTGACCTCCGCAAAACGGGCCCCGTTTTTCGACACGAAAGGCGCGGGACTCAACACAAACGAGAGCGAGAGCGCTCAGGGCGCATGCCAATCAGCCAGCCTTGCACCTCAGCCAGTGCCAAACAACTGCGCAGTTCAAGCTGCAAGGCAAAAGCGGTTGTACGTTAGTGGTTCCCTAAATTGCCCCTTGAACCATCACCATTTCTAAAGGAAAATTGCTTGAGCTTGGGGCGCCCAAAACTTGGGCAAAGCGGCGGGGGAATGAAAGCAAGCAAGCAACAGGCACGGTTTGTGGAGGGTGACGGGGGGAACCTAGCCCACAACCTTGCCTGGAAACATGAGGAAGATTGCCCGCAACAGGCCTGCTGAGGAACCTCCTAAATCCCGAATTCAATAGCACGGACTTTTCGCAAAACACGCAGCAATGTCGGCCGGAGCTACTTCAAACTTGGGCCCGATTGCCAAAGGCTATGCTCATGTAGAACAACCCCAGCGCTTTTCGACAAGGCGTGCTTTGTGCGGATCAAACATTCACTGGTGGCGTCCAAGAAACAAAATTGGGCTTCAGAAAGCGGGGAAAGATCCTCGAGCTTCCCCGCAAGGGTCTTCTGAGGCCCCTTGCGGCTCGGGGAAAGGGGAGAAGGGTAGAAACATGCAACAAGAAGCCATAGATTCATCTTACAATTGGTGCGTTGGTTTGGTGACGGGGTATCTTCCACCTTTGGTTTCGAAAGGTGCTGGGATTCAAATCCCCAAGAACTCGTCCAAATCACCAACTAAGGGTAGCGAATAGTGATTTCCACCGCAGGTCACCGGGCGGGGTTCCCACTTGGTCCGAAGTGGCGGGGGTATTGGTCACATGCCCTTGGCTACACCTGAGGCGAATTTGCATGGCTCAGACAGGTTTTGCACCGGAGGGGTCGAGAAGCGTCTCCGCTGCAAGAAAACGCCAGACATCAGCTGAGACTGGTGGTTGCTCAAAATGAGAGGTGCCGAAAAAAAGTCCCGCCCACCTCCCCGAAAGCTTTGAAGCCCAAGCCGCGTTTCGCCACGTGCTCCCACTCGTAGCTCCAGCCCCATGCGCCCCACACGCCCTCGGCGCCGCCCGCCGCGCTCATGGCGCTCATGGCGCTCCAGTGCGCGGGCTCGGCAGGAGGGCGCCAGGGCACCTAGCAAATGGCCGGCTCCCGGGGCAATGACCAGGGCTTTAACTTGGTTGACGTTGGAAGGGGAGCATTTTTGTTTAGCAGTTAAGTGGAGATTTCCCAAACCACAATAAGCAGAAATTGAACATGTTTCCCAGCAACAAGCATGCTTGTTGGATACATTTCGCTGAAATTGCGGGCTTTAGGCGAATCCTTCTCTATACCACGCAGTCAACTGGAGAATTACCAGGGAACACAGATCTAGACCTGATTCTGGGCCAAACAAGAGCTCCAAGTCAAAAAAGAGGTAAGCCAAGTCTGGCAATGGCAAATATGTCTTTGTGTCCTTTACCCATTTTGGGATCGAAACCAAGCCTGTCAGCACCCAACAACTGTTTTTCCACACGTCCCAAAACCCAAGTGCTGTCCGAGTGCTCACCGTCGTGGGTCCGGTGTCGGGGTTTTGGTTTTGTTGTTTTTCTAAGTGGGGAGGTAGAAACCCCACCAAGTTGCTGGCTGCAATCGAGATCACTTCCAAAGGGCGGAAATGGGCCGAAGCGTCCATTTCCGCTACCCTAAGGGGGAGGGGGGCCCAAGGGAAGATGGCTCACCATGAATGGAGGTCTCCAGGGGTCACCCTCCCCATTCCATTTTTCCGCAAGCTTGCCATATGCCGACGCCGGGGTGCATTCTCCTCCGGGTTCTCCGGCTCCGGGTTCTCCGGCTCCGGGTTCTCGGGCTCGGGCGGCTCGCTGGTCAGCGCCTGGCCATGGACACGCCTTTGGAGCCTTTGGGTGCGCGTGCAGAAACAAACCTGGAGAAGGGCAAAAACTGGAGGTGGGTCAAAAATAGGTACCCAAAATGGAGCCCTGGTAAATGGAAACATGGACTAAAACCTGCGGACCCCTAGTGGTTTAATTTTGACCCATATCCAACTGACGATCAAAACATGGCGCTGGCAGCAAGGAAGCAAAATTGGAGGGCGGACCAGGTTGCGGCAATGGTCATGTTGAGGTTTGGCAAGTTGCCGGACAGAACCAACAGAAAACAATTCGTGCCAAGAATAAGTGAACCAGCCCTTCCCCCACAAAGCGCGACATGTGTTTTGTTTCTCTAGTTGTTCGCTTTGGGGCATCTCGGCTCTTTCATCCCCAGCTGGCTTACCGCTGCAAAACATATGGGGGGGGGCAAGCCGCAAGCGTGGAATGTGCCTGCTTGTCCCTTAATGGGAAGTCTCTGAATGGGAAGCCCTAAATGGGTGGGTAAGAAGACGCGTCCATTTGGAGATCGCAAGTCCAGATTTTTCAGAAGCACAAGGTTCTAGTTACTCTTGAGCCCCAAGGTCAGACAACATGACCAGAACAAAGCTTTGTACACCCAACAACAGTGAATATGCTATATACATGGCCTCCACACAACGTCCAAACAGGGGTTGCTGTTGAAGTTAGTGGTTGAGGGGGCGATCCGGAGCCCACGCCGCTGCACAGTGTGCCTACGCGAGTGCAAGTCAGCCTGCAGGTGCCAACACGGACGCCTACGCGGGCAAATGCTCAGTTCAACTGCGCTACACAAAGTGGCACTTTGGCAGCTCCAGCTGGGAAATCGCAACTTCTCAGTACAAGTTTATTTTGGCAGCTCCAGCTCTAAGATCACCTTTGCAGTACAAGTGAAAACCACATTGTCCAGTCCAAGGATCTGGCTGCTAGCAAAGGTCTACGTATCCAAATTGCCTTGAAAGCCTTCGCAAGACAAATGATAATTGCTGACACGGGGCCTACGCGGAGTCTATGCGAAGACTGTAGAACAAACAGCAGGAAAGCAAAAGAAGCAAGCTCCTGTATACTTGGCAAACAGCGTTGAGCCATGATTCGTCCAAACAATGGCTACACTAGAGGAGTGACACAACAGCTTACTCGCAGAAGCCTACAAGCCTATGCCCCCAACCAGGATTGCCTCCGCAAAGTGCATGCAGTTCCCTTTGCGTTTAAACACATTCATTTGAAAAAGAACAATAGCTGCTCAAGTGGCCTGGCTGCAATTTCGCCCGCGTTTTTCAGGGCCTTCCCCGCCTCCCGCACTGCGTTGCGAAGGCTTTCGTCGCGCAAGAGCAGGGAGACGTCCATCTGGGAGAGGCTCAAGCGTGGAAGTCTTGGGGCTTTTCGTTTCGAGCTGTCGGCTTCCCTCTAATTTCTGGCTTAGAGCCACGCGGTTTGGAGATTGTTCCAGGGGAGGTTTCTTTTGCACGAACCACCAAGTATAGGAAACGTGAACCTGTGTTGGGCCAACGAGAGCAGGCTTGGGGGTGGGAAACAGGTCCCCGAATAGGGGCGCCGCTTTGTCGATTTCAATCACCTTTGTGTTTTGAACTGGTGGCTTGGATTTGTGGCTTCGGGACTGTAACCAGCTTCTCTTGAAACCAAATTTTGGAAGGCACCCCTGCATCACACAGGTGGCCTTAGAACCCAAAAGCACACACACACACACACACCCACGCACGCACGCACGCGTAAGTGCGACATCATAACACATGTTTAGCTGTTCTTGAGCCTTGGTCTGTTGTCTTTGCATGTTGAGGGCATGTGGGCCTGGTCAAACCCGCTCATGGCGAGGAGGGCAAATGGAAGGCATCAGTTGAGCCGCCGCTTCTTCCGCGAAGCGAAGCCTATTGTGTGTGTGTGTGTGCGTGTGACGTGGCATGTGCCCCAGGAGCTCCCTGGGGCCGCTGCTTGGCCGGAACGCTTCCCTTCACTCAGCAAGCCTCAGCTTTCCGGGCTCGGTCCGAATGCTCCGGGGGTCGGACCGAAGCCAGAGATTTGAGTCACACGTAGAGAAGGATGCGTGGGAAAATTCAGGGGATGTGTCTTCAAATATATATATATATATATACAAAAAAGATTTTGTGGTTGCAGGGGCAAATGGATCATGTTTATGTTCAACCCCTAGTGGAGAAAGAACTGAAGTGGCTATTGATGATATTCTAAGTTTTAACTCACTGAGGGCTTCTACACTTCCAGGGTGTCCATTTTTCAAGAAGAGCTCGTATGATAGGTAGGACATGCATTTGTCAAATATTCGGCAGACAAAAAAGCAATGTTCGGTGGGGCGTCCTGTGGAAAAACAAAAAACACACAAAAAACGACCAACCTGTTTGGGATTTAGGACTTTTACACAATCCAAAAGGCATAGCATTTTTCCCAAGCTGGTATCTGTCACTTTGCGGTCCTTTGGCTTCCCTGGAAACTTGATGAGCTTCTGCAATTGCCTGCCCCGAACTGAACCATCCCTTAGTGGTTTCTTGGAGATCCCCTTCCGCTTCATTCCCAACACCCCATTTTCCTAGCGAACCAACAAGGACATGTCCAACCTGCAAACCGCCATATCTTTTAAGGAAACCCCAGCGTGCACAACATGTGGCGTGTCGCCCCACGGGGCCGTTGTCGACCCCACCGGCACGGCCTCGCTTGAGGCTCCGGCGCGAGACCAGCTCCCGCATTTGCGTTCGGCCTGACGCAGGGTACGGAGTCGGAATCGAGGGCGAAACTCAAACGGATTCCAACAGATTGGCGGGTTTTCTTTTGCATGGTGCGAGTGACCTTCAGGTTGGTTTTAAGGGAAACCATCATACACTCGGAAACACCAGGAGAAACTCATGATTTGTGGGGGCGGGGAGGGAGGGGGGGAGGGGGCGGGGACAGGGGGGGGGGGCGTGTCTGGAGGGTCCAATATGATGCGGGACACCCTATGAATCAACCAGGGGTACGTATTACTTGGATCTGGAGTCTCCCATTAATAAGGCTACATGAAACTGGACTCTGCATTCTACCACTAATATCTCCTAAGTGGTAACCCCCCAGTTGCTGAAATTGAACCGCCCCCCCCCTTCAACAAAACGGCCAACAGTCGCCAGGGTCCAAGGTGCTTCCAACGCCCCTGAAACAAGGACTTCTGATTTTCCGGGCCTCCTTTACCCATCGCAGAAGTCAAGCCTTAAGTGGAGTGGGCACACCTCAGCTCAGGGGTACCTTCCCCAAAAAGGGGAAAAAAACGGGGAACCGGGGTTCAAACCCGGATCCCGTTCATCCAAACCACCGTTCCCAAAAAGCAACCGCACGTCTCCGCAGGTCGGACGGCCGAAGCCGAGTCGCGGTGGGTGATGACAGACTGGTCGAACCACTCCCTCGGCTTAGCAAAGGTGGGTCGACTCGCCCAACTTCCCCCTGTCGTAACCGTTGGTGACCCAAAAAATGTCAAGCAACTTGCAACTGAGGTGAGAACCAGACCAAGCCTTGTTCCCTTGTTACGGGCTAACTTGGGAGGGTGAACGAAAGCTAGCCTAGCCAGCCCAACGACGACATGTACGACTCAGGAGTTGCTAGGACATTAGGACTAGCAATCCTAAATGAACGTCCAGAAATAGCAATCCTAAGTGAACGTCTAGAAATATTTATCCAAATATATATGTATACATATACATATATGCATATATGCTGGACCCATTTCAGAAGGAAACGCAGGCAACCTCAGATCCAGGTCCATCCGGGCCGCTGGTGCGACTCCAGGCCGAGCCTCGAAAACCTCGGGGGGGGGGGGGGGGGAGCCAGTTAGGATGGGAGAATGGGAAGGGGGGGCATGGGGGGGCATGAAGGAATTGTAGGATTGATCTTTTTTGTAGGGTTTTTTTGGTTTTGTAGGTGTGGTGGGTTTTGTGGGTTTTGTGGGCTTGATTTGTTTTGTAGGTTTTGTGGGTTTTGTGGGCTCTTGGGTGGGTCCCAAGTTTCTTCCAAGTGAGAAGCGCCCCCCAAAAAACCCATCGAAAGTTGGTTCTACCATTGTAAAGGCCGACGGCCTTACCGTAGTCCCTAAACCAGGTGGTAGACATGTCTAACAAATTGATTTTTTATTTCACAGCGAAAAGGCGCGCAGTCGGGGAGTCTCGGGGAGTGCCCTGATTTGCCGCGGCACCTTAAGGCTAAAAGCGGTGTCCATAATTTGACCCTTCCCCAATTGCGACCAAGCCCAGGTAAAAAACCAACAACCCAGAAATCCTCCACCCAAGGCGGCCAGCCATCGCAATTTCTGGGACTGCTCCCTAACCTTCACTTACCCATGTTTTGATGGTGGCTCATGTGGTGTGTATGCGGTACCTTTTTTCCAGATTGCTGAGGGATGCCGACCGAAGCGGACCCGGGATTCATGAGCTCTTGGTTGATGAGGCATCCCGGTTTCGGGGAAATTCAACAAAACGCGTGGGAACACCCTAGAATCTTGCAAGGCCAACTGATCCTGGGTCGACATGTCCACAAGTTGGGAGTGGAAGTGAGTCTGTTTTTCTTTTGGAGGCCCCCCCCCCCCAAAAAAAAAAAAGAGGACAAATAAGTTGTTTTCCCTTGGCTTTCCCTGAAGGCAACCCCTAAAAGGGTACCATCCTCCAAAGAAACACACACCCTTTCACCAAAACGTCAAGGGCTGCTCATGGCGAAGGACTTTGCGCCACAAAAGGGAAGGGACCCTGCCGAAAGCCCAGCGCTTGGCCGCAGTTTGCATGGACAGAAACCAATGGCACAAAGGGATGTCCAAATGGTCCAACGAAAAGAAAAAAAACAAAACGGAACCATTAATCAAGGGTAAAACCAAAGTCAGCCCCCCCTTCCCCCCAAGGCGTTTTTTTCTTGCTACCTTCTTACTGATTTCCACACAACTCTGAGAAGACTTCCTGGGCTGAACGGTAAAAGTCAGGTTGCTGGACTGTTTTCCTCCAAAAGGGACCATCTGGTGGGCCCCATGTTGGGAGGGCAAGTGGTGTGACCTTTCTGCATCCGATGCGAGGCCTTCTCGCGATGCCAAGTTCCCGGCTGGCCAGGCTGGCGTAGCAAGTACAGGAGGAACTCCAAGACATAGAGACCACCTAGAGCTCGCATCTCCGCTTCAGCACCTTTGAGTTGCAATCTTCTATGGGCAAATTGGTATAACCCCCCAAGCCAATATTCAATAAGGACTCCTTATCATAGGTGAGCTTGGTATACCCCCCGGGTCCGGGTGAGCTTTGCCGAAAGTCGTGAGTTTGACCGCGCGATTTCACGCGGGAGCTCCATTTGCTCAAGTCCCCCGCAGAAAAAGGAACATGTGTCCAGTAGTAGTAAGCTCCTTTAAAATCACAGAGGAAAATCATCAATTATTTTGTGCAAATGGAAGAAGGTCTTTGTTGCTTGAGTGTTGATCCTGCACGTCGATCCTTGGTGCCGGAAGCTCTTCTGAGGACGCACCGACCACCCTCACCTGGTCATGATAGGGCCTTGATTCTCCCGACCTTCACAAACGCCGGCTCGCTCTCCATCTTCAGCTCTTTCAGAGTGAGGGGTACGTCACTCACCCCTTGCCAAAGTCACTTTTAGTGGGATTCGTCACAAGTCCAGGTGAACTCTTCAACTCTCAAGTCCTTCTGTGCCTTCCCCTGCCTCCGGCCATTCTGGCCACTGCTTGCCACCAAGCTGCAGTCGTAGACGTTCCTGGGCAGGGGGAAACGCCATGCGAACCCAGAACGGGGCCCCCATCCCAGAAGCCCATAAGGAAAAAAGCACCTGAAATCGAAAGGTAAGACCAGGGTAAGACCTGCGACAAGGTGAGGCCACCTTTCGGATTTCATCCCATCTTAAAAGGGGGGGGTGGTGGGTGCCCGAAGGAAAATGGAAACCTGTTTGGACTTCCAAGGGCCATCCCCTCCCTTGGTGCCCCCAAATGCGGCAAGTATGGTGAAGCGGTGGGGACACTGAGTCGTGGGGCGAAATAGGCGCCAAAACAACCACCCACCTCAAATGGGCGCCAAAACCAGGTTGCTAAATCAATCCCAACGCTGAGTGTTGCTTTGGCTCCACAGTTGCCCTTTTGCAGCAACTGATTGAACAACTTTACAGACACACCTTCGAACACTCAGCAGGTTCCTAAAGGGTCCTGAAAACGACATGGATCCTTTTGGAATCCCCTATTCCTATATAAAGCCCCCCCCCATTTCCCTTTGGGTAGTGGTGCGGTAGTGCACCCTTTTAGTTTAGAAACATCAGCGTCCCTTGGCTCCTTCGTCAAAGGAGAATCAGCCGCCAGTTCCCTTCCACCCGCTTTGCCGCGCAAACCAAAGGAACCAAGCCACTCGGTCAGCAAGTGGTGCCAGTGCCTTCTCTTGCAGGGAAGAGAAGTGTTGGTTGCTCAAAGGGAAAACCTAAAGGGTGTGTCGTTTTTTCAAGGCTTGGTACCCGTGGGGTCGTTTTCGAGAAACCAGAAGGAAACCACCTATTCTGAAGGTCCAAATTTCAACAGAAAAGCAAACCCCAAAGGAAACCGGACACTCGGATTTCAGCAAGTGAATGTCCTTTCTTAAGGGAGAACCCCCTTGTTGGTTGCCTCTGAAAGGGAAACTGAAGGTAAACCGTTGCAGTTTTGGGCGATCTCACTTCCTGTGGCCACACACAGTCTGAACTGTTTATCTTGGTTGCGGTTGACCCCCCCTGCGAAGAGTTTAACTTGTTGGGGGGGGGTTAGCGGAAAAACCCTTGAGTTCCAAAGAAAAAGTCTAAAGATCCAACCCAATAGCAGTACAGTTATGTTCCAAAGAGATGATCCAGGACCTCAGGGCCAGCACCCAACTGCTTTTCGGACAGCACTTGGGACTTTAGTCGCGGGACGAAGCAGAAGCGGGGGGGGTGCTGGGGGGGGGTGGTGGGGGGTGAGTGAGCGATTTGACGCCAACCGAATCCAAGCGGCTGTTGCTTTGGAACGTCCCCATCGATGGCCTGCATCTTCTCCAAGCCCATCACCGCCTCAACGAAAAGGATCTTGTTCTTTTCTTTTCTTTTTTTTTGTTGGGGGGGGGGGGGGGGCGGGTTCAGGGTACCAGTTGGTTGGGCACACCGGTAATTACCATTCTGGTTGGGTTGTACCAGTGTGCGTCTGTGGCTTTAACTTGTGGTTTGGAGGCGTTCTGCAGGTGGTTTCCCAATTACCCTCTACAAAAGGCTAGGGTGCAAAACCCCAAACCACCAATCCAAAGCAACCAGGGAACAACCGCGGTCAGACGAGTTTGAACCTGTGGTGTTTTGGTTGCGGGAAATCACGAGCATCCCCCCCAGTGGATTTCTGTCAAATGACTTCAGAGTAGCCCAGGCCATTTGATAAATCGGGTCATGTGAAAGATTTGGTTCTTTTTTGAGTTTGCTAGTGTTGTTTGCTTTTGTTGGGCATCTCACTTCTTGAGGAGATTATTGGGCTGGCCAGTTCGGTCAAGGGCAAACCACTGTAACGGCAGGTGTTGACGAGCTTGGGCGGATTGACTTGTTGCTTTCCACTCAAAAGGTCCCACAAATCGTCAACATATTTCAATCCCCAAGCTGGAGAAGGAAATCCCTTGGAGAATCCTGAATGGAAATGCTCATTTTACCCATGACTAAGTCCCAAACGCGGGGGTTCGTTGAAGGATGCCTGGGGCCAGCTTAAGATCACCTCTAATCCCTGCAAAACAACTCTGTTTTCATATCCTTTAAAGGCCCCACCCCCCATTGATGCCCCACCTTTTCAGGTGGTATACCCTGAAAACAGAAGCTAAAGCCTTTGGTCTGGACATGCGAAGGTCTCTCCGAGCACCCGGCCGCTTTCCATCTCGCCACAGATGCCGCCGCGACGGAGCCATCCGCGCCCAGCACTGCCTCACGCCACAACGCGACGCGGCGTGCAAAGGCCCCGGGGTACGACCGGGATCGATCTGTCTTCTGGGGACCAAAAGGGAACTACTGTAACTCAACGTTTAACTTTTCGTGGTTTAATGGAAAAACCCATTGGTTCGCAAAAAGTCAAAGTCCTAACATCCCTTGGCAAAAAGCACCAATGGATTGTGTTGGTTCCCCTCCCACGGTGAAAAATAATTGGATCCTTCCAGAGGCCCGCGCAGGTTTAGTGAGGGTGCCGCTGAACCACAAGGCCTGAAAGATTCCCTCGTTGTTGATCATGAACCATGTTGATTCATTCGGCGGTTTTTCCCCGATAAAAGTCCACGAGCGCCAACTCGGACATGCTCGTGGGAGCGCCGAAAAATCGCAGAAGGGACCCTGGAAACGGCACATTTTCAGGGGCCCAGCCACGTATCCTCGAAACTGCCATTGCCGGCGAGCCGCGGCGCCATTGCCGCCCAGGGGGTTGTTAAAAAGCTCCCGCCGCAGGTAGCCCTGCGGCAACCGGGCTTTCCAGGCAAGCGGGCTCAAAAATCCGAAGCAGAAGCCTCGCCGAACCTTTGGAATCTACTCATAGTATGTGAGCAAAAACTGGATGCCCTTTGCAGCCTGAAAAAACAAACACAAAAACAGAAACAAACTGGGGTGCCCCTTCCCGAGCAAAAGCCCACCATTCGTAGGTTCAATTTTTTGTAGGTTCAATGCAGAAGCTATTTATTGGTTGGTTTCCAAAAGGCCTACGAGGTTCACTCAAAGACCAGCCACCCAAAGTGGTCCAATTCTCACCCCGCCGAAACGGTCAGCGGTCACGTAATTGCACAGGCAGGGGGGGGTCCACAAAAGGAACGCTTCCATCTTCCAAACTTCATTGGGCAGGTGCCTGGAGCACAGTGAATGAGAATTAATTCCCGCAACTGGAATAAACAAATCTAGCGAACTCAGCAGCAAAGCCGTGTGCCGAACTTCTTGCGTGATCCTGTCGGCGATCGCGCCTTCAGCAGCTTGATGTGGTCGTCCTTTGGCACCTCATGCACGCTGGCAAGCGGCGGAAAAATGGTTGCCGTTGGGTAAACCATCAATGAACAACAAGGCAAAAACGGAAGCACTTTGGGTTTTGCAAATGGAAAGGAAGTGCTTGGGTACTGGAACTAGGACGTTGTTGTTCAGTTGGTTCTCAGTCGGTAACAAGTTGGAATGGCTCCAAGAAGCTGTTTAGGGCGTCCCTTTGGTTCACTTCTGGTGAGGTCCCCACCCCCTATTAATTGGACCCGGGAATGAGAAACCCATCCTATTAATAAGAGAAAGATGTGTGTTTCTCTTCAAAAGCACGCCCACCAAAGGGGACACCCCAATCCGAATCAAGCAGGTTCATCCCAGGTCCACTATCTACAACCTGCAACAAGGAGCCCATAGGCATCAGCCGTGAGAAGCAGCTCTTTTCATTTGGAGGGGGATCTTGGCCTTCGACCCAAGTCCTTTGTTGACCATGGCTCCAGGAGCCTTGTGCCCGGTCAACATGCAAACATTGCTCAGGAAGATGTGTGAGGGGCCCAGGACTCGACCCACCGAACCGTAATCGCGATACCCTCATCAAAATCAAGCGGCTTAACTTCATCTGGGGTTCCCATTAGTTGCTTTGTTTCGCCCTCTTTAGGGCACCCTTCGTAGAACAAAGAGCTCGACAGGGGTGCGACCTGCAACTCTGAAACTTTCGATTTGCAGCCTCCATACCTCCAAACTGGGCTTTATTTTGAAGCCACCCCAAGAAGGGTGGCCTCAAAACATACGCCCAGTTGACTCACAGTTTCGGCAAGCCGCCGGCTCCCAGGCCGAGTCGAGGCACACGATGCGCGGCACGTCCTGCAGAATTCAGGCGCGAAAGACGCAGCCACTTGCAAGGAAGGCTACGGATGGTGGCGGACAAAAACATAAACAAGCAAATCTATATGTAGAGCCATACATCTGTAAAGCGATTCACGCACTTACATCTATGTGTGCTAGATGCATGTAATGTATGCTAATACTTCCATTAAATCCCCATAAACCCATCTGTGTTTCTTGCATTCCATGGCAAAATACGTAGATATGGATATATAATGTAATCATTTACTGTCTTACATACCTATTTAATCCGTTCTTAACTTAACCTATGTGTGCACATGCATGCCGTTTTGTCCGACAAATCCAGACCTCTCGTGGTCACTGTAGAAAGGGCAGCCTGGTACACGGCCTTCATCACAAACAAACGCGCGGGCAAGTGCGACACATGTTGTTGTCTGTGTTTGTTTTCTGCGGAAGTCAGCAAAGCGTTCTTTTTCCTTTGGCGGTTCTGGTGGGGTGAGCCACTTGTAGAGTCCCATGATTGCAAAAGCTCGAAAGAACAATCTAAGGTCGCAACATGTCGCAAACCCTCTTGGTGAGTTCAAGATGGGAATTTGTATCCGGGATTTTTGCTCATTCATCAGATCCGAAAGTAACAAAGGGATGTAAAGGGTGTTCATGAAAGGAGCCCCCGTCTCACGTCGCTATCCGGGAATCTATCAACCCCCCCGAGACCGGCGGGGAACTTGCCCGAGAAATCCCAAGAAAAGACTGCAGTGGCCATTGAAAAGGACAACTTCTTCTCAGCCCTGGATGGGGCCCAGAAATGAACTGTGATCAACTTTTGAAACCTGAGACACTTTTTATGTGGACCAAATCAGGGAAACCAAAAGGTCAGAACCGGTCGATTCGCTTTGGGCAACTGAGAGTGTTGGCACAGAAGTCCGCGCCGAAAACAAGAGTAAAAGGGGTCATGGCTGGAGCTGGAACTCTGGTTCGTGAGATCACCATTGTTCGCTGGTTGCATGGTTGCTACAATTTCTCAGCCCTTCATCTAGGGCCCTTCAGGAGAATCTCGCCTAAGATTTGCACTTTGACTGGCGTTGACCCTCTTCGAATTGTGTCCTTGTCTCAAATTCTCCATGTGCTTGGCAGCTGGCACACATGAACAAGGCAACGGAACACCAAAATGGCTCCCGTGCTTGGTTTGGGAGTTCCGGTTTGGGTGAGGAAGCTCATCACGGCTCCGGACGGACCCGATCCCCCCCGGCCAAAAACAAAGCGCCTCGTCGGCCTCCGTCTGTTGGATGGCGCCGTGGGGGTGACAAACGAAAAACCTGAGCCCGCCATCCGGGAGAAAGACTTCGAGGCAGGACTGCGGCAGGGCCAAACACGTTGCCTCTTTGGCCCAGAAAGGAACCTTCACCATGTGGGGCTCTGTTTTTTGAGGTTGCTATTTTGCCGCTTGGTTAGAGAGGAACCCAGGGTTGGGGGGGGGGCATACATTCTGGAGCTCCGAATCCCAAGTTTTTCGACACGCGGGCGAGAAACACCTGCAGTTCGAGGAGACCTGGTACGGCCGATGCTCGAAATGCCCACGGGACTCATCACCATCAGATCGCAACCCCCACCCTCGTTTTGAGCAAAAAAGTTAATCCCGGATGTATTAATTACTATGCTATTTAGTGGAGCCATCCGTTGCTCATCTCTTGCGCCCCACCGATCCCCCCCAATCTTCCAACATGAACGGGTCCCAACTTACAAACATGCGGCATCCGGTGTCCCTCCAAACGCTCACTTCCGGAGTGGACGGAACTCACTTGCCGCTTTGTTGCAGCCATGCATGACTCGGATGACCCGTGTCTTGCGCCCAATTGACCGCTCCTGAAGTCCGAAAGACTTTCGCGATTCGCGGGGTACACTGCGACGGATCCGGATCTTTCCTTTCCACCCGGGAGGGAAGAGGGTTCCCACCTGCTTCGAACATCACCCAAAAGGAGACTAACTTTGAATTGAGGGCAAATATGGGGACCCCCAATGGGAAACTCACGGGAAACATGGATCCTATAGAAACCTGGGGTAGTGAGAAAGAGAATCAGAGTATGTCCATTTCCGGTGACAGTAGTTGCCGAGGCGGCTCTACGTCCGGCCTTGGATTCGGACAACAAAAACACCGAGGACCTCTACAAAGCATCTGGGCCGAGTCAGGAGTCTCTTGAACTGGGTGTTGACCAAGCTCATAAATTCCATTCGCTGCCTTGAAAAGCTGAACCATGTTGTCTGCTATGTTTCACGTTGCTATCACACGATCAAACGCGGCCCGGAAACATGTGGCTGAAAAAGCGCGGCCTGCAAAACGCCTGGAACCCAACCAAATCTCGCGGGCCCGCACATTGAAGTCCTGGTCTACTTCCCTTGGCCCTCTGTCGCTAATGCCAGGCAGCACGCACCAATGAAGATTGGCCTGGCAAGTGGCAATTCTCCTTTCTTTCGCCCCTTCAAGATCCAGTTTCTGCATTTGTCAAGCCGTTCGCCCCCCCAAAAAAAAAACGGCCAGGGCTGAAGTTTCGCAGGATCACCCCCCCGAGTTTCGGAACCCCGGGTCCCACATCTTTGTCCCTGTTGGCGTCTGGCATTGGAGGTGCTGTGGGGGCCAGTCAGATTCGATGATCTAAGTCCATTGAAGTGACATCCTCAAACTTGCTACCCTCTAAAGGTAAACCATTCACAAAAGTAACTTGGATAACCCCAAAACGTTCAGTTTAAACGGACCCAGAGGAAAGCGTGCGGATTTGGAGCAAACACCTCTAGCCTCGAGCATCATCCAACTGGAACTCGGGCGATCTGTCTCAGTCTTTTCATCAACCCTCTAGTGGAGGTGCAGCCCCCTCAATTCCACAATGGCGTCTCAAGACCTGTCCGAATCCAACAAAGGGTGGCTTAACCCTTCTGCTCAGCCTTGCCACCACGGGGAGTCTAAAAATGGTGGAACCGAGACCCAAAGGAAACTGAGAGGAACCACACCATTCTTAGGAAATGGACCGCCATCTTGAGAAACACGTGTGTGTGTGTGTGTGTCTTGCTTTGAGGGTAGGTGGTGCTCAAGGAAAACCAAAAGGAAACCACTATTCTGTGGGTGCCTAAAAAAAAGGAATACCCACATACACGGCATACCGGGGGGGGGCCTGTTCCACATCAAGAACGACTCGCGGGGGGAGGTGCTGATTGCCTCCAGAATCGGGAAGGCAGCTGTGGATGCCGCACTCGACAGGAATGTGGTCGAATCGACAACATTTTCGCGCAGCCATTCTTCAATAAGTGTTTTCACGGACTTGGGAGACAACAAAGGCAAACAGGTCACTTAGGGATCGCTCAAACGGTTCACTTAGGGATCACGGTCACTTAGGGATACACGCTCACTTGAGGATCACATTCACGGATCACTTAGGGATCACATTCATTGATGACGGGGGTGGGGAGGGGGGGGGATGATAAGCACACCCGCTCAACAGCTGCAGACCAGCCTGCTCCTTTACCGGATTACAAAGTAACATGGCTCTGGGGAGGGGGTGGGGGATGATAAGCACACCCGCTCAACTGCTGCAGACCAGCCTGCTCCTTTACCGGATTACAAAGTAACATGGCTCTGGGGAGGGGGTGGGGGGGGGTGATAAGCACACCCGCTCAACAGCTGCAGACCAGCCTGCTCCTTTACCGGATTACAAAGTAACATGACTCTGGGGAGGGGGTGGGGGGGGGGCATGGTAAGCACACCCGCTCAACTGCTGCAGACCAGCCTGCTCTGTTACCGGATTACAAAGTAACATGGCTCTGGGGGAATTGGGGGGGGCATGGTAAGCACACCCGCTCAACTGCTGCAGACCAGCCTGCTCTGTTACCGGATTACAAAGTAACATGGCTCTGGGGAGGGGGGGGGGGGGCATGGTAAGCACACCCGCTCAACTGCTGCAGACCAGCCTGCTCCTTTACCGGCTTACAAAGTAACATGGCTCTGGGGAGGGGGTGGGGGGGGGTGATAAGCACACCCGCTGCAGACCAGCCTGCTCTGTTACCGGATTACAAAGTAACATGGCTCTGGGGGGGGGGGGGTTGGGGGGTGCATGGTAAGCACACCCGCTCAACTGCTGCAGACCAGCCTGCTCTGTTACCGGATTACAAAGTAACATGGCTCTGGGGAGGGGGTGGGGTGGGGGGGGGCATGGTAAGCACACCCGCTCAACTGCTGCAGACCAGCCTGCTCTTTTACCGGATTACAAAACAACATGGTTCTGGGTGGGGGGGTTTGGGGGGGGGGTTTGGGGGGGGGCATGATAAGCACATGCGCTCAGCTGCTGCAGACCAGCCTGCTCGTTTTCCGGAGGGGTGGGGGGGGCATGGTAAGCACACTGCTTCATCCCAGCAAATTCATCTCTTTCTGGGGGTGGGGGGTGGGGTGGGGGGGGGGGATGATAAGCACACCCGCTCAACTGAACCAGCCCAGCCTGTTCTGTAACGAAATGGGGGCATGATAAGCACAACCGCTGAACTGCTTCATCCAGCAAATGCATCTCTTTCTGGGGGTGGAGGGTGGGGTGGGGGGGATGATAAGCACACCCGCTCAACTGAACCAGCCCAGCCTGCTCTGTAACCTAATGTGCAAGTTCATCGGGTTCTGGGGCATACGCCGCAGGGCATACATGTCAACACGACATGCACACAACCACATACATGGACTCGCCAGCATACATAGTAACATATGTCATGAAACATACACGTCACATATGTCATGCGATATACACGCCGACAAGCACAAACAAGCGCATACATGCTCGCGCATGCGCGTATATAAACATACATCGCGAGCAAACATATCAACACGCATGCATGCGCGACAAGCCTTCTGCAAAAAGCGATCCCGGAGCGATCCATTTGCGCGATCCCTAAGCGAACCATTCGCGCGACGCCTAAGCGACCCACTGCCCGACAACAAAGGCGTTATATATCGTGTCACGTTCAGCAACAATAGTTGTCTTCACGGACGTGAAACTGCCTAGTCTAGGTTCCAGGTGTGACTTCTTTCTGCCCAACATGATATTGACATGTGTTTTCATCCTTTCCCGCGGGGGGCTTTTTGGCCCCCGAGCACGGCACCTACATCACCCTGAAAACCCAACCTCGTCTCGTCAACGTGCCTCGTTCACGGGGTAAACGAGGACCCGCTGCGAGGCCACGCCGCCGTTGACGGTCCTGGCGAGCGTTTTTCGTGGATTGAGAAACAAACCGAGCGAGCGGAAATGGCTTGGTTGTAAATGGCCTGGTTTTGTTTGGAGACGCTAAAATGGCCTGGCTAGTCGTGGCATTAATAACTATGGTTTGACTACAACAAACGAGGCTTATGTTGGCCACCGAATGTGCGGCATAACTTATAGCAGTAAATGGGAGGATTACTATGGTTTGCTTGGATTTTAGCCCTATAGCAAAGCCATCCAGCGGCCAGGAAGTGAAATGGGCTGCAAGTGAAGGTTAGCTTCTGAGTATACCATCTGGAGCACCATGCAAACGCGGGGTGGTTGAGAACGGGTTTTCATTTTGGGAGGCATTCTTCCCTGATTTATCCGAACTTAGCATGAATGCCAAGCTAGCAATGAATAGACCCTAGCTGGTGAAGAGAGCTTTGATTTGGAGGGGATGAGGGAACACCCCGATAAGTTGCGTCAGCATGCCGCAAAAAATGCGCCATCTGAGCGGCTTGGAACACATACTCGCAAACTAATCGTTCAAGATCCGCGGGCCTTGCTAAGCGACTTGTGACTAGAGACACACACACACACACACCGTTTGCCAAGGTCCGGAAAGAACCGGCCTTTAGCTTTGGCAAACCCGCTGCATCCAGGTACCCGGACGTAACCGAAAGGAAAACGGCCGGTTACCTACTCATTTCCTGAATGGATGGGCGAAGGGAACCTAGAAGGAAAAAGGCTAGCTACCTGTGGGTAACTGGGGTCCACTGGAAGCTTCTTTTTTTCTCCCGCCAGGGGAGAAAAAGCAACCTGCGGCTCTCCCTCCCCAAATCCTTGTCCAAGTCTTCACATTCTCCCAGCCCTTCTCGCCACCTCGAAAAAAGTTGGCACGGGCCAATAGCAAACGGGCCATGTTGGGCTGAACCCCCAGTCAGCAGAGAGTTGACAAACACAGGGTGCTCCTCCGACGCGATTCCATGGAAGCTCCCGTATTCTTTCTGGAAGCCAAGCTGCAAAGAACAAAGGACGCAGCCAGACGGCAAGATCCAGCATCCCAACATATTTCTCAAACCTTGTTTGGTGCCCGACGCGATTGCGCCGGAAACGTCTCGACAGTCTCCGAGACCTTTTGCTGGCTTCAGCCAGCGGGACTCACCGGGGACAAATGTTGTCGTCTGTCCTTTGAATCTCCCAGGCAGAAAGTGCTTCACTTGTTGGCGAGCGGTTGAAACCTCCCCATGTCGAAAAGCTAAAACTATTGAGTAGCTGAGAAACACGAGGACATTCCAATGCAACACCGACAACTACCTCAGCTTTTGCCCCCCTCAACCCAAAAAAGATATGCACGCAGAGAAGCTTGAACTCCCAGAAAGGCATCCCAGAAACTTGGTCAATGTTCAACCCTAACAGTGTATGTGCTTGTGTGCACGTGTATCCTTCTACCACTTGAGTCAAGGGCAAGAATGTCTACCATCACCGCCTCAGGCAAGTGCAAGAATGCAGGATGTGACCAAGTCCTTCCAGAATTTCAGGCCAACACCAGCTAGCCGAAAGCCAAAATGGCCCACCATCGGATTTTGGTTGCGCTCTCACACCAATTCAACTGCTTAGTCGAGGGTAAGGGTTTTCTGCCATCACCTTAGTCAAGGGCAAAAAATGTAGGATGCGATCAAACCTTAGCTGCTGTTGGCCCCTCTGCACAAACTTGAATATTTGTTGTGGGCCCAATCAAACGTCCACTGCTTCAACCAAAAAGTTAAAGTCCAAAGATCCTGCCAGATGGGGTTGATCAATACTCCCGCCTTGAAACGACCGTTTAGTGGGACCTTCCGCATCAGTCATCCCATGCGAAGGACCTTTGGATCAACCCCCAAATCGCCAAAGCCACGCCGACGACGCGCCCCCGCCAAACGCCCCGATCAGTGCAGCTTCGGCGCTGGAGGCGCCGCAGGCCGTGAGGCGGGTGAAGAACTGGGTCTTCGCGACCTAAGATGTCCCCAAGCTTTACTTCCATTTGGTTGAGATGCCTGAAAAAAAACTATTTCCAGTAGTGATAGGTTCCCTTTAAAACCAACAGGGGAAAATAAAAGAGATTCTTAAGCAAATGGAAGTTTAGGTGGTTGCTGTTGGTTCCCTTTGGCAACCACCCCAAAGAACGGGCACCCCTGACCAAGAGGAAGGATCTCTCTCTTGCGGCTAAACAAATATTCACCGACTTCCTGAGTGGGTTGGCCACGAAAAAGTCTGAACTGTGATTTTCCACTAAAATGGTCCGAACCCAAAGAGTGAAGGAACTGTAGGCAGAAGGAGGTTTGAAGGATGATCTGGGAATCAAATGTGGCCACCTTTTGGTGACCAATGACTAAACGGTTGCCCAAATGGGGCAATCAAACGGTCAAAAGGTACGCTTCGGACAACTGAGATCAACTGAGCTTAAAGCTTACACTGTAGGTTAACATAGAAACTCAACAAACGCAACCCATTTCCAGAGGAATCTCCCTTTTGCATCTGCGTGGGGAGTGACGCGAAGCGCTTGGCTTCCCGGTTGTCATGCGGTTCTGATGTCAAAGGTTGATTGCAAAGGTCCACATCCTTTCATTCTCCGAACATTACTCTCCTGCCCGCTAACATGTTTCCAAAAAGGTTAAACCAACCACCAAGAGCAGGGGAGTCCGTCGGTACCTAAACCTATACCTGGTACACACCCACTCAGGCACCTGCACCTGGGGGTACAGGTACGGTCTGGTACAGGTACGGTCTGGGTGTGTGAGCAACAACAAAAAAGCGAACCAAGTTTTTCTCCCCAGAATCACTGTTCAAAAAAGCATTTGTCGAAAATGTGAACTGTTCAAAACTCACTGCTCAGCAAATTAGCTGGCACGGAACATCAAGCAACATTCGCAGAAACAAGAAAACGCAACACGGCCACCCAACAAAGTTAACCAACCACTGAACAAACCAATCACAGTTCAACAAAGCACGATATACAACAAAAACAAAAAACATACATTAATGGTAAGCCAAACACATGACCCTCAACCTCCATTTGCTTAAGTCAGCGGAACAAACTAAGCATAACCCGAGTAGTGATTCCCTGCAAAACAAGCCCGGGAAAAAACACACACATCGTCCTAAGCAGTTGGAAGCCGTTCATTTGATCCCAGGCGAGTGCAGCTTCGAATCGCACCCAAAACCTCTCAAAACGAAAACGGGGGCAGGTGGCGTAGAGCTCGTCCTGCAGCTGCTGCGGCGCGGCCACCTCCAAAGCCAAGCGCCTCGGAATCCAGGGATGAAATCCAGAGGACCTGGAGGAAATCCTGCAGGTGGGATGGATCTATAGTGCTATAGTAGTGCTATAGCCGCCATGGATCCACAGGGTGGGATGGATGAAGCTCTATATATAGCAGGACAAACTCCACCATGGATCCACAGGGCCCCTGGAGAAAGCTGTCAAGACGACATCCCGCACCGGGGTGGATGGATGAAACTGCCAACTGGTGCAGGATTTGTTGCACTGTGATTTTTAAGAGGGGACCACCTGGTTTCAGTGGTTGGACATGAATCCCCGCCGGATTCAGATGTTCAAAGGAGCAGAGACCGACCGATTAATACTCACACCCGTATTGAACACCAAGGAAGCTCGCCCGGAGTCCTGCCGGGAGAGGGCCACGAAACAACCGAGTCCGTTCCTAGCTAGAGAGCCTCGTCTTTTTGGTTGGGGGGGCGGGGGACCTTGAAAGATACATCTTGGCCATATTGAAAACCGCCTTTTGCCAGCTGGTTCAACGGTTTCCTGCATCTGGCAGGTGATGTTTGCATCCTTTGAACATCTTAGGTTCAAGGAACAAGGTGTAGGTTAGGAACATCCCCTGCATACTCCCCGACATCCAGCACTGGGACAGGAATCCCAGTGTGTTGATCTGTAGGCGGAGTAAACCCACAGGACATGTCCGAGGACCCTGCCCAAGGGGGCTTGAGCACTAAACCTCGACCCTGAGAGAGGCCTGTCAAAGAATCGAGCCCAAAAACTTGGCTGGAATTAGGACCCCAGAAAAAAAAACAACATGTTTTTGCCTGGTTAGTGGAAAACAAAGGGAACCCGCCCCCCCCAAAAAAAAGAAGAAGAAAGGAACTAATTCTGGGGAAGACAACTGGGCTGTGAACAAAAATGTGCTTGGGAACCAGGAAGCCAAGGGACATGAGCAGCTTGCATGTACAAAGGCGTTGTTACCCCTGTGACGCAATCATTTGGTGCTTGGGAACGAGGAAGCTAAGGGGCATCGGAAGCACTTGCAAAGACTCGGGGAAGGCAAATGTCCTTCAACCACGTCCTCATGTGGGAATTGTTTGGGGCAAACTGGGGCTGTCTGACTCGCCACCATGGCCGTGCAACCTAAGTGGGATGATCCTGCAAGCTGCTCAGAAGGCAGGAAGGCCTTTTCCGCAGACCTCCATCGAATTTGACTTTAGACGGAAAACCCGTGCATTAAAAGTCAAAAGGAACAATATCCACTGAAGGTCGTCGACTTCTTTTGACCCCCCCCCTCAAGTGCAACCGGCGGGGTGGTCCTTGTTCTTCGCACAACTTGGGAAGCAATGTGCGAAAATATGTTTTATCCACAAACACCCAGGTGAGTTTATTGCATGCTGCCCATGTCCACTTAGCCACATGAAGAAGTCCATGATGGTGTCGTTGAACCACTGCTCGTCCTGACGAATTGCGAGGCGCGCTGCTCGATCCCGCAACCCAGACTCGGGTCAGCAACAGGCCTGGACCACGCCCTGTCAAACAACGACAGTCCGCAAAAGTTGATAAATTTACCAGTGGCTTCTATTAAAACGAGAACGCCACGTTTTGGAGCGTATAAAGGAAATACGGAACAATGACAGGTGGTTTTGGAAGACCATCCACCAGCTTTAGCGAAGCCAAGTCTTCGGGAGGCATTTTGTCATAGCGCCTCCACCAGATTGACCCGATCGCCAGGGTGGCACATTGGTCCCTGGTAAAGGGGAACCAACTGCCAATGTTCTACCTAAATGGGAAGGGAAGGGGTGATGATCTTTTGGGAACGGCCAAAAGAGCAACCCTGCCCCACTTATCCAGAAGCAAGTTCCAAAATGGATGTGCTGCAGGACCTGTTCTGAGCTGACACACTGACTTCCCTCAACGGCACTTGCCTTCAAAGCCGCTAGCCTGCCCGATGCTGTTCGTCCCGGCCACTTGTATGAGATTCCTCTCGAGATGATGGTGTTGCCGGGTTCATGCAACTTGCCACGTCCTCCGAATCTTTGAATCTTGGAACGAAACCAACTCAACTTGTCGACGTCTTTGCTGAAGTGTCCTAGAGATTGATGTTTGGCTTAACGTGGTGCTAGGCCACTTTGCAGGCAACCTGCTAAAAATAGAACATATTCTTAAGTTTCTTGAGCAAATGGAAGCAAACAAGCCGCTACCACTGGTGGCATTGGAGGCGGGGAAGGTCACCCACCCCAAACCTGGGCTGTCCTCAGATGCCCTGCTAAAAGTTTAACTTTTAGTGAGCTTCATGGGACCCCCCCCCCCCAAAAAAAAAAAAAAACACTAAAACCCTAGCGGGATGGCTGGGAACCAAGAATGAGGGCTCCCAGTTCCCATTGTAGGTCTGGGATTTCCTTACAGCTTGCAGAATTGTGGTTTCCCTTAGTCACCTACCATAGTCTGTGGCCTGGTTGAAAACTAGTTCACAATTGTTTGGGTGGGCCAGAATCTAAAGATATATTTTGCCCAAGGGACCTACAAAAACAGGTTAACCTTTTGAGGCCAGGAACAAAAGTTGACCACTAAAACGGGAAAAACGAAAAGTCACAAGGTGGGCTTTGGGCAAGATAGTATTATGATCCGTGCCCCTCGCATGGGCCAAGCAACTCTAACTGGAAGCAATAGGCTATCCTGCCCACCTCCCCCCCGCCACACGCCTCCAGTAGATCCAAATCTCTTTCCTGAGCTCGATTGGCGCTCTTTCCGCAGCACTTGCAGCACTTGAAAGCCATGGGCACCGTTTCAATTTGCTTGCGCGGAGTTGAACTACCAACCAAAGCCCATCCAATCCAATCCATCCCAATCCAGCCCAATCCAACCAGACCGAATCCATCCCAATCTAATCCACCCCCCAAGTCCTTCCCCCCACTTTTCTCGTTCCTCGCCAAGGCACTTCCAGAACTGTCCCGTGAAGGCGGAGAGCCACAGGCCTTCCGGTATCATTCACGGAAGGAACCTCCAAAAAGCCAACCCATGTGGGTGTGTCTTTCTCGGAGGATACCCCTTAAGGTCGGGTTTGAAGGGGAACCAGAAGGACACAGCCCATTTTGGCGCCCCCGAAAAGAATCTGACCCCCCTTTTGAGTTCCATGTTGGTTTGTAGGGAAGTATCAGGAAATCCCCGAAGTGATGAAGTACTCATGGGAAGCAGCTGTTGGTACTAGTGTCACAGATGTCGGGTGACTTGCCAAAGAAGGCAACCAGGGGAAACCGCCATTTAATTCCATTTGCAAGCTAGAAGCGCAAAACCCCAGGTTACCTACAATAGGCTGTGGTGGCAACTAGGGATCCCCTGGTAATGGCAAATCAAATCACAGCTCGAACGATCTAGGTTTGGTATGACAGTTTCCCCTGGTTACTTAACAACACGGCAAACACTGGGTGCAAAATAGGGGGACCTAGAAGAGAAACACACGTCCCTGTTGGTTTCTCTTTCCGGGAAAGTGATGCCATGCTCAAAATGGAGGAAGTTTAGTTCCGTGCTGTTCTTGCCCAACATCTTAGGCCCAGATCTGTGAATTTCCGTGCAAACAGGTCACTTTCTTGTGTGGACTGGTGGACACTTCCCGAGCTGGCTCCTTTGCGCGTTGAGTAGTAACATAGGTAGCCCAAGCTCATGTGCCAATCCGTCCCTTCCCCAAACAAAAAAGCCTGTTAAACTGGGCTGTTTCTGTTCAAAAGATCGAGAGTGGGCTAATCGCAATCTAGAGGAAAGCAAAGGACAAGGGGGAATCCAGTTCACCCTTTTTGGCAAGGATCAAGGATTTGCCTTTTGAACCGAGAAAACTAAAGGGAGCCCCCCAAACCAACGGGAAGAAGGGCCTAACTGGGCCTAACTGATCCAGCGGTCTGCAGGCTTAATCTTCCCAGCCGAGCCGCTCTTGCAATGGCCGGGGAACCAGGCCCAACGCTTTCGGCCCATGCCTGAGAAAAAGCTCGGAGTGGCGTCCCGAAGCCCGCAGCTGAAGCTCTTCCCCCCCCGAGCTCGGTGGTTTTGGAGCGAGCCCGGAGCCGGTGGCTAAGGGTAATTATTTTTTTGCTGGGACCTCGTTTTTATATATATATAAATGGCGCCAGGAGTGAAGTCATGCTCTCGACGTTTACGAAGGAAGCCTTTCATTTTGGTAGGGCCCTCTGAACTACAAAATCAACCCTGAGGATTCAGCCTCCCCCGGTGGTTGTAGGGGGTGGTTTCCCATTTACCCTCTACAAGAACCAGGATTTCAAACCCACAAACCACCAATCCAAGGTGAAAACAATGACTCAGCTCCGACTTACAATAGAATTGTGTTCAGATTCTGGACCTGCTTCGCCAATAGCAGAACTTCTGAGACCCCAGCAAATTTGGGTGGATTGAGAGGTAGTTCCCTTTTGTTGGCGTCGTTTGGTTAGCGGTTTCCTTTTGTTTGTCTGGGTGGCTTTCTTGTGCTTCCCTTTAACGCCATCCAACAGCTGCTTTGTTGTGGTTTCCTCTTACAACCATAGCCACTCGAGATCAGCATGTCACCTACGCGGACCCAAAGCAACATGTGTCGATTTCTGGTGTGAAACAGGCACACCCAAAAGAGGGAATGGTTTCGCCTGTTGGTTTCCCTTTGGAAACATTTCAAAGGGGTCACTCCACCAAAACTTGGTTGACGTTGGAAGGGGAGCAAACAAATATATTCTAGCAGTTCAGTGGGGATTTCCCACTAAACCACAATGAGCAGAAAAGTAAAATGTTTCCCAACAACAACCATGAAAAAGAAGAAAAGAAACGCAAGCCATCCGCCCTCCGCCCGGCAATCCCAGGCGCAGGGTGAGGTGCTGCAGCCACGCCATGAGCGTCGCCAGCGCGGACCGCAACTCCTGCAGTGTCCGGCCCCGCGGAAGCGACCCAAGGAGATTCCTCCACTTTCTCTTTGGCGTTTTTTTTTTTTTTTGTGTGTTGATTTTTTCTTTTCCGGAGGGGGGTGGGGCAGGGGGGGGGGGGGGAATCTGCCGTGGACCTTGTCTCAAATTTAGGCCAACGGATCCAGAGCGGTAGGGGAGCCATTACGGCCTAGCGACTATTAATTGTAGTTTGCAAATGGGTGTGTGTTTTGGAATTGGTCGCCTTTTTCGGGTTCGTGTAACAGGAAAACAGCAGGAACTCCCTTTCCTTTGGCGACCCAGACTCTTTTCTGACAAGCGTCCCGATACCCCTCAAGCCAAAAGTCTTGCGTTGGCATCTGGCTTCTAGAATAGCAAGTACCCCTTCAAAGCCACAAAGCACTCATACGCAATTGGCACACCTGAGCATCACACAGCTGGCTACCATCCAACCCTCCACTCCAAGCCTCTCAACCCTCCAAGCTCAAATCCGAACCACCCAAACCACAAGCCACCCAAAACCACTCAAAACATCCAAGCCCTCATAAAGCCACCCAACAAAACCACCCCAAACCACCCAAAAGAGCAAAACCACACCTCCCCACACCACAAAGGTTGCAAAACCTGCCCCACCTCAGTGAGCGGTGACAGCGTCACCGTGGCGATCCGATGGCCCTCCGCCATATAGTCCACCTAGGGCAATCTTGGGCTCTGGGCCCCTCATCGGCCAGCGGGTTCCCAACAAAATCTGAACACATTACGGTTTTCTCAAACTGGAAAGGAAATACGGAGCTTTCATAGAGACCTTGGGTGAGCGCATTTTGTGAGCTCCTTGTAATTGGGGCCAATGAAAACAGCCCTACCAGCTGACTAGTCTCAACTTGTGTTGCTTTTGTTTGGGGGGATCCTTGGAACAGTTCAATGGTAGAAGGGATTACGGACTCGGGGCAAAGGGGAACCAAAGGGAAGCCAACTCGTTTCAGAAATGTTGGCAAGGGCCTAGATAATGGACATCTGGCGAGTGGCAATTTAGAACCAACGTCATGCGTATCTCACGTGCCTAGAGGACCTGGCAATAAAAGATCAACCTTTTGGAACCTTGACTAAGTATGGACCAAATCAGGAAAAACAGACAACAGGTTCAAAGATCGGCCTTGGACAAGTGAGTGAAAAGAAGATGTGCGCACACTGCTCTGAGCATGCCTCAGGACCACTCCCCAAAACATATGTCCCACGCGCCGAACCTTTCGCACCAATCACTCCAAGGCTTCGGGTCTTTTTTGGGTGTCGCTTGCGCTTGCCAGGGGCCTTGACGATCCGATCGGGACCTGTGGGGAAACTAAGGCGAAAGAAAGCCTTCTTGTTGGGGTCGGAGCCATTTGCAGGGCAAGCCAAGGCGCCGCGAAGCCATTGGCAGCCAGAGGCGGTGAGAGCGTGAGGATGATCTTGGCACAGGCCACCCAAAAACAACTGCGGACGCCCTTCTTTGAACCAAGGCGAAACCGGTTCCGAGACTGAACATAAAACAAACACACGCAGTTTGGTAGGGTGTGTCTCTTTTGCTTTGAGGGGGGAGGGTGTGGAAGAGCTAATGGTCTAGCCCAGCACCATTTATTTTGTTTAAGGCTCCCCACTTGGGACCTGGAATTAACAGGACTTTGATTGAATCAAGGGCCGTGCAAAGATGGGACCCCCGTGGCTGCTTCCATGTTGCTCTTTGTGTGGTGCCCGTCTCAAAGGCCTTCTGCATGAGCAAGAGGGCACGTTGCTTTTCGTTTTGACATCTTTCACACGGGATTTCCTTCACAAAAAGATGTGCCTTTTCCTTGCTTCCGTGGCTTCCCTCTAAGAGGGGGTGAAAAGGGAAGCCCTTTTGGAGGCGACCGGGGTGCTGCAGCGAGGACGCATATGGAGGAAGCCGCTCAGTTTCGAGGGGCCGGGACTGGTTTCAACGTGGCCTTGCCCCAGTGTGTGCCACCTACTTCTGGGAACACGCTGCCGGCGAGAAGGAGAAAGAGAAAGAGAAAAAGAGAGAGAGAGAGAGAGAGAGAGGCAGAGGAGAGCTGAAGAGCTGACCGAGTGGGGGCTTCAGCTGAGCCCTCGGTATGGCCACAAAACTCCTGCCTGCACACGGGTGCAAGCAAATGGCACTATTTACTTACTTTATTTGGGTAAGCAAAATGGATGACTGGGGAACTATGCCATCATGAAACAAACACCTGTAATGCTGAAGCCGATTGCTGCTTTCGCGTGGAAGAACATCTCACGATCCTTGGTGTTTCTACCGCAGCTCAACCGTGTCTGAAGAAGAAGCTCCTCAAAGGCAAACCCAACGGGCAGTAGAGAGTATTGCCCCCTCTTTGTGCGTGGTGGTCCGAACTACCTGGGTTAGCAACTTGGAAGGCCTTTTTTGGGGGAACGTGATGAACCCCCACTAAAAGGGGACGCACTCCTATTGATCAGGGGTTCATTAATCCGGGGTTTCCATAGCTTAGAAGTCCAAGAGGTTATGCCAGCAGGCCGGGGAAGTTTGTTCAGGAAAGCATTGTTCCAAAAGGTTTGGGAGGTCTTCGAGATTCCCATCATGATTCGAGTTAGGCCCAGATATAGAATGTATAATTTATAGTTTGCTTCACTTTGAGTCACTGGTAACATGTAAAATGTGTCCTAAGTCTACCCCAGCCATCCCCCCCGCCCGTTCACTTTACGCCGAGGGGCCATGGGACCATCGGCCTTCACATCCACAGAGCTGATGCCTGCCACCGGGATGACAAGGTCATCATCCTCCTCCGCGTCCTCGCGTGCTGCTCCAAAGGCGCGCGAGCCAAAGGACGTCTAAAGGATGTGATGCTTCGCCCGCATTTTTGTTTGTTTGTGTGTGTGTCTTTTCGCCCAAGCTTCGCCTTGCTTGCCCCTTAGTACAAGGTGATCTCACCCAAAAAATGGCCCGTCAAAGTCGCCCGCTAAGTGGCAGGTTAAAGGGACACCAACCGAATTTCTGAGTTTCATAAACCCTACAAACAGAAATAATGACCCCAGCAAACATGGACCAAGGGGAAACCAACAAGTCAGATCAGGTTGACTGGCTTTGGGCAACTCCCTTGCACGAAACCAATGGTTCATAGGTCCCTTGTTCATTCTGTTCAATTGGGCGTATCATTTCTCAGGGGACCCTTACCCCAAACTAAATAAAAATCAATACACAATAATGATAATGTTCCCTTTGGTTTGCCTTAAAAACCAACCAGACAGGTGCAAAAAAAACACCCCCAATTCTTGCTCTGCTCACCAGTTGTTGCCCCCAGTTGTTTCGCGGCTTTCTGGAAAGAAAGATCCCTATAACAAATGGTAAAAATCCGGGATCCGGAATTTAGCCATCGGCGCCCAAAATTCAAAAGCAACGGTTGAGATGCTCAAAAAGGGTAAGATATGTTCTTGACGTTTCGCTGTTCTGCTTCGGAAAGGCAAGGACATTCCGTGGCTCTTCCGTTTCAATGCGTGTTGAGCGGCTCGCACCTTTGTTGGCGTGGTTTCTGGTCACATTCTCCACATGACAATAACCTGCACCCGAGTGGCCAGCGGTAAAAGCGGCACCTTGCGTTGCTGGCGGATTTAAAGGGAAACACCATCAAAAAACATCCTCCCTATATGATGCGAATCCCAAGGAACCCTTTGTGGAAAAAACACTAGTGCAAAACCCCTTGCTGAGCTTCCTCCAGTTTCTGGGCCCCTAGTTGCCATTTTAGACTCGGTTGCCCCCAACTGGGACCCGGAGATAAAAGGCAATCAAAATTTAAGGCCATGCTCAAATAACTGGGTCAACATGGGAAAACCCAAAGGTCAAAAGGTCGCCATTGAACAAGCGAGTAGAAGGTGACCAGGGATGTTCCTTTCAGTTTGGAATTGGGTATGTGTCAAACAAGAATTGGACCTCCCAAAGTGATCCGTTTCCGCTTGGTTTCCCCCCGCATTCTCGCACGAGTCGACAGCCGCCGACTCGAGCCGTCCTCGGGGCTGAAAATCAAGGCCTGGTCCTGGCAAGGCGCGCAGACTCAACACAATCCTCATGGACAAATCCATTGCCACTGCGCACCTGGTGGCACACAAGGGGCGCGTAAACGCGGCCACAATCCCAATACCAGGGGAGGAATCGTGGCCCTGGGTCTGAGGTTTATGGGATGCTTTTCAAGCATCCTAATGCCATTGCCGGCCCCTAAAAGCGAAGACGGACGTGTCAACCGGTTAGACTGTTGTGATTCAAGTTGTGATGATTAACCGGGTGTTTGGTTGTTTTTAAAAGGTATGTTCAAGATCATTTCAGCTCACCCTGCTTGAGTAATGGACCAATCCATCCTCTACATCAGCCGTTCTTGGCCGAGCAGGGTTCCCTACAAAGGAGCATCCCCGAAATCAGTGGCAGGAATTCCTGAAATCATGCAGACACGCGAAATCAATAGAACGGCTATTTAGGAAGCCTGGTTACCTGCTATAGTGGCAAGGTTCTGGGTCATACGTTTCCGCCATGTGCGAAGTTGCCCGCGGGCGGCATGCTATGGCTTTGGTCCAAGAACCGCAATCAAAAGCCACTCGCACTTGAAAACGGTTGTGCCTTCTTTCTTGGAGGGTACCCCGTTGGTTAGGTGTTAAAAGAAAAACCACAAAGAAAACCGATGCCATTTTGGGGGTCCACTAAAAACAGACGCAGCCATCTGATATTGCCGCCACCCATACCTCTGGAGGTCTGGCCCCGGGCAACCAAAAAAAAAAACAATCGCACCAGTAGGGGCTTGCCTCCTAGGAATCAATGAGAGGTTGTTTAAGGAAGGTGTTGGAACGTGGTTCATTTTGTTTCAACATGCTTAAGGGAAGCCAACCTGGTTCATGGAAGCCTCTTGTTTGGCTTGGTTGCTCTTTCTTTGGTGAAATAGATCACCGAACAACTGCTCATGTGCGAATCCGTCCAACCAAGAAACCAGCCACCAATTAATCCGGAGGATGGTGCGAATCAGTGTGTTTCAAATGGGTGGCTTGTCTGTTTCTGGGTCCCCTGGTTCCTTTTGGCTTTCCTTTTCAAACCAACCCCAAAAAGGCTATTGCTAGGGCTCAGTAGGCAATGTGGGAATGAACCCAGGGATCCCCTAAGCAATAGGGTCATTCTATTTCTCCTTCCCCGCCCATCGCACCAGCCAGAAACACCTCCCCAAAAAAACGACACACCCCATCAAGACGACGCACAACACCCATAGGTGTCCTTTTAGGGCAAATAGATGCCCCTGGTAGATGATTAAACCACAAGGTAAACCAGGAATCGCCCTCTATTTTTCCACCCAAACAACCAAAAAGGACACCTATGACAACACTTTTAAGATCTTTTAAGCCAGCGGTGAAAATCCAGGCTCCCCCCCCCCAAGGCGTCAGGTCCTGCCGCCAGATCTGCACCTCCCCCACCGGCTGTGGTGTCAGCAAGCCCCGGCTCGGGGGCAGCGCCAGCCTCGTGGAAAAGCCATCGCCGTCGACCCAAAAGGGGCCGGCGTAAAATAGGGGGACCCCAAAAGATAGGTGGTGTTCCTCTTGTTTTACTTCTTAACATCCCGCAAAATGGGTGAATTCGCCTCTTGTTTTACTTCTTTAACATACGGGGGCCCTCAAAATGGGTGGCTTTCCTTTTGGTTTCCTTTTGGGAACGTAAAAAGGGTAGCCTCAAAAAGAAACATGAAGGGATATCCGTCTACATCAAAAACAAACAGACCCTAAATGGTGGGGGTTTGTCGGGGGCAGGCGGGGTGGGGTGCTGTCTGGTCTCCTTCCAGGCGTCCAGTCCTCTTTCTCCATGAAGCATGATTTTCAACATCCCCTCGTGGAAAGGACACCTCCCAACATCACTTGGTGCACCGGAGGCACTTCCAACAAGACACTTGCCTTCTCTTCAGGCGGTTCTTGTAGACTTGTAGGGAGTGGTCATCGCTTCAGCGCGCCCGGTGGCAACATGAAAATCTCCGGGGGCCAGCTGGTCAGTTGGCCTTGCTGGCCGGCCCTGGGGCACCCGCCGGCAGCAGAAGCACTCTTGCGGCGGCTCCGCCTCAGGCGAAAGGTCCGAATGGTCTGACCACCCCTTGAAAGGGAAAACAACCACCCACCAGGAGAAAGCAGCGTGTATGCTCTGCTATTGCTGTGTATCCCATTCGGCACCCTGGGGTAGTGATTTGGTGTAGTGCCATCCTTTGATTCAGGGTGCCCAAACAGGTGTATCCGAAATCACCCGATCCGAAAGGCGCTCCTCATCCGCTGGTAACTGTCATGTTCACCATGGCCAAGAGATACACTTCTCCAACTCCCAAACAAAAGGACGTAGGTCTCGGGCTGTCCTCCCATTCGTTTCGCCGGTGAGGACCTGGGCTCCGGACGGCCAGCGCATGCGCCGCAGCAGCGGCCCGCGCCTGCCGCAACCATCTAAATTTGCAAACGCGAGCAGGGGGGTGGACAAACCTCGGATGACAAGCAGCTCTGGTTTGTTTGGCAACCATCCCAGATTCAGGGCGCCTGGAAGGTTTCCGCAAGGATTCTGCCAGTCATCTACAAAACTGCTGAAAGCCACATCAAGTTCGTTTCAGTAAACATAAAGCCGCTCAAACGGCAAACATGTCGCCTCGGTTTCCCCAGAATGGGTTTCCCCGTCAACCACCTTTTGAGGCTCAGTAGCAGGGACCCTTGAACCAAGAAAACAGGAAATCCACACTAGCTAGGGCGGGGGAGGGGGGGGCTGAAACCTCTTAAAGCCACTTTGCTCAAACATCCTGATGCAAACGTCCATCCAAAGTTTGACTCGGATACGAGCAGATGGGACAATCCCGGTAGATGTGGGTCAGCAAAGGGCATGAAACCCAAATGGTTGGAATTGAGCAATCTAGTGTCCAGCTTTGTTGCCGGCTGCACCCGTGGTAAAAGAACCGCAAGCTCCGCCTATAACAAAAACAACTCCCGATTCTAACCTCCAAATATCTGGTGCTTCTTCTTGTCACAGTCTAACTCGTTGCCTCTCAAAAAGGGGAAATTAAAGGAACCCCTCCCAAAGGGCAGAAGGGCAACAACATGTTAGCTGAAGCCTGGCGGCGGAAATTTTGACTCAGCTCGCACTTGGTTGGCCTTTGTCTTGAAGAGCCACCGAAAGGAAGGGAGCTGCATCCAAATGCTGGGCTCGACCATCTATGGGTGGGACACCCCTTTGAGAAATGCCCAGTTGCTCACGTGGATGCTCTGGACCTGGCTGGGGGACGTTGAATTGGAACTTCCCTTTCTAACCACCTAAAACCTAAACAACGCACCATGCCTCACAAACCCGAAATGATCTCGCCCTCGTTGAGCGCGTTTCACTTGAGCTCGCCACCAAAATGGGCACCATCCAAATGCAACCTCGTTTCCCGGACGCCTCAGCCTCCGCACACCGCTCAGCTTCATCGTCGGAGTCCACGACAATGGATGCTTCCATGGGGAGATGTGTGCGATCAGAAAAAGATGGCGATCGGCGCACTTGGATGCGCCGTGAATGGCGCAGTCCTCGGATCCTAGGTGCCCAAAAAGTACAAATCCAAGGATGGAACGTTTTCAGCGAGACTTGGACTAGTGGAACCGAAGTCCCTTGGCAAACCGACCTAGGACACCTATGACCTGGATCCCGAGGAGCTTTGCCCGTGAAGCTTTTTGAGGGAAGGCTTCGAGCGCCAATTCGCCAGCCTTTGAGATTTCGGCTTGTATCATGTGGCATGGCATGGCACTTTGTGCTGCAGTCATGAAACACGTCAAGGTAACAAAGCAAAGTGGCCTGAGCGGGTTCAATGAATATTGCAAGGGATTCAACTCGCTGCAGTTCGCCTACCAACATGCATATCATCCTGGGTCAGAACGCGTGTCGGTCATCGTGGCTTCCCGAACGAGAATCCCGTTGCAAGTTGAATCTGACCCCCTCACGAACAAGAACACCAAGTCTCAGCAAAGCTTGTCAGTCTCAGCGTTTTCCAACCACATGCCGGCTTCTTTTTAGTCCGGTCAACAAACTGTTCACCTTCTTTACCACAATGCCATTTGCGAGGTCCCGAGACCCGTGAAAGCAACAGGTTACCGATGGCACCGCGAGAGCCGGTTGGCTCTTGAGCCGAAGCGCAAGCTTGCAAACGCGGCTAGGTGCTGAAAAAGACACATGTCTCTGACTCAATGGACGGTATCAGGGTGCTACACCTCCACGGAACATGCACAACTATGGGTTGTTTAGCACCAGAATAAGCTACAAGGACCTGACTTTACAGAATCTAGACCCCACACTATTTTGCCCAATTACCAGGAAACCCACCTTGTTTTGTGTCTCCAATGTTGAAAGAACCCGCATGTAGCTACCATTCGCCCTTAGCAAGTTGGACCCCGACCGTCGACATTCCAAGGGGCCTCAGAGGGTTCTGAGAGCCCTGACCTCCCCTGACTGGTTTCCGATTGTCCTACGTGTTCATGGGCCCCATGCCACTGTTGCCACAACTCTCCAACTCTTGGTGTAAAACTGTGTTGTTTGCCTCCCCCGACTGAAACTGAACAGGACTAAACAATCACGAAGCAACTCCAAGAACCGTGAAGCCAAAGAGGGTGCAACCGCAACATAGCCGCACTCTCTGCATGGGTTTGTGATTTTAAGAAGGGCACCCCAAAAATATGTGCTGTCCTCTGGGGTTCCCGTTGCAAACCGGCCCAAAAAGGGCAACTCGAAAGAAAAACGAGCCGCACCAACGTCCAAACGCGGACCTATTGGGCTGCTGGCTTGTTCTCCTGCAATAGGATCATCCGTGCGCTCTCCGGGATCTCCACCTATCACATCCATAGGATTCCCTACGTTGGGGTCGTGCCGGGATAGAAACCAAAGCACTTGTACATGGATCCAAAAAGAAAAAGACAAATGTGTGCGCATGAAGGGCTTCAGTATGAGTGTGCTTGATTGGAGTTGGTGGTTTGAAAAAGGGGTCCGGTTTCAAGGGAACACAATGGAGACCGAAATCCATTTGGGTCCCCCTATTTTCTGTGGATCAACTTGCATGGGGTCCATTTGCATGGAAACCAAAAGGACACCCCATGTTTTAACCATTTATTGGGTCCTCTTACCCATTCCACACCCCTTCTGAGTTCTCAAAATTTCTGGGTCCCGGCGGTCTCCTGATAGAAACCACCCATGAGGGTAAGTTTCAGGATCTCACTTTTATGGACCCAGTGAGATAAATCCAAGCGACTTGTGGGCCACGTGAAGGATCCAACCCGGCCCAGCGGGGTTGCGGACTGTGGATCCCGTGCAAGCATCAAGGCTTCAAGGCGTGCATAAATTGCAAAGCCAGGTGTTCATCAGCTTAACTTTTAATGGGCTAAATGGACAAATAAAATAACTGAACCCAGTAACAAACCTTCATGTTTTTTGGTTTCGCCTGACAAAAAAAACCAGCGGCGAGCCGGCGCGTTCTCGAATTTCCCCGGAACGTGTCACCTGCCCCCGCTCCCCTCGGACTCTTCCGGCCAAGTGGCATGGCCCATACGGTCCAGGCACTTGGTCCTCGGGCGTGGCCATAAGTGGGAGAAGAACGGAACATGAATAAACCCAGTGGCGCTCCAAACTCCCAAGCTTCAGGTGGAAAGAACGGAACATGAATAAACCCAGTAGCCCCTCGAGCTGTAAACTTCAGGTGGGACAAGAACGCACCCCAACTAGGACCCAGTTGAAGGCTGACAGCCAGGGGTATGACAAAGGGTCATGGGGGTTGTGGGAAATATTTTTAAACCAATGCCGTGAACATAAAATGAACATGTTTCAACATTTTGTTTGACCCCTGAATCTGAAAATCGCAGTCCAGGTACCTTTCGGCTTTTCGTGCTTTGGGCTGCTAGGCAACCTGCGTTCCATTTCGGAGGACACTCTGTTTGAGTTTAATATTCTTGACAGCTCCTATTTTCTCACGGTCTGCGTGGGTTGGCCAGAAAAAGTCTGCACATGCTATCTAAAATAGTCCAAACCCAAGAGGTATAAAAAGCCGCAAGACGCAAATTCACTCTCAAAAGGGATGGCCTTAACTTGGCCCACACGCTGTCCATGTTTAGCCTAGCCCAAACATAACATATGGGTGTGGTTTTTGAAAGGTTCCCATTTACGAGCACCCGAATTTAAAAGGGTACCCAAGACATCTGTTTGCTTGGCTGGAATTAGGACCCCTGCCAACATTAGTTGTTTTTTCTTGATTTTTGCCTGGTGAGTGGAAAACAAATGGGACCCAAAAAAAGCACAAAAAAAGAGCTAATTCTAGGCAAATATTTGCAGGAGACCCCTGCGCGTTTTTCTGCCGAGGGTCTCTCGGATCAACTGCAAGATCTCCGCGTCGAAGTTCACGTGGTACTTCTGATCCTCGACTGAGGGCACCCGTTTTGGTAGCTGGAAACCCTCCATTTGGGGCTTCTTCTGTTGAGGGAACCACCGGTTGGTTGGTTTTAAAAGCAAACAAAGATGTAAACCACCATTTTGGGGGGGTCCCAGAAAAAAAAGGAAAAAACACATTTGCTTAAGTCCTGGAAAATGAGAACAGATCCAATGAAAGATTCCCCTCAAATAAGCACGCCAAAACATAAGCAAATATTGAGCAAACGGGAGCAACCAACCGTGAGTCCAACTCTGTTCTCCTGGATTCCCTTTACTATCCAAGGTTGATTGTCACGTAGCCAACTTCCCCCAGTGTTTTTCTTGTCAGGGGTTCAGTCCTTTCAGGCCGCCGGGTTAGACTATGGCTTTGTGCTAGGGCCGCTGGGGGTTGGGCAGGGTGTGGTCGGATGTTGGCGACTTGCAGCTGAAAACAATTCCACATGGGTTGGCAAGGCTCTTGCGGCGGAACATCTGTTGGATTCCTGGGGACCTGCGCCTGTTTCGCAGCAAAAACACGTGCACCAAACCCCCGCTCCAAGGCCAGGGTTGGCTGCAGATCAGATAGGGGCAACGAGCCTCCTGTTTATATGTGATCTTGCTGTTTGTATTTGGGGGCCAGGAGGGCACATAAAACATTCATGTTCCATTCCCTTCCAGGGTTTGCCGTTTGACACCGTTTTAACATGACTCACGGACCCACAGAAAGGTTGCTTCACTTTTAGACTGCTCCAAAGGCACTGGTCTTTTTGGGGTTGTGGGTATGTGTTGCAGGGATTTGGACCTTCAAAATGGCTTTGAACCAACTGAGGTCAAAAGTCTTGTGCAAATCTAACTCTTCCGAGGTTCTTAAGCGAGCACAGGGGTAGATTACACGATCACCCACGCCTCGAATTGGCTGCCCTCAAAAAGAACCCAAGCCTTCGGCTCGTGGGGAACTATGTTCCATCATCCCGAAAAGGAGGCGTACAAGGCTCCGGAAAAAAAGGAATGCGTCAAGTTCGAACGACGTTGGCTCCTCTGGGTGCTTGATGATGAGGGTTGCATTGAGACCCGCCTGCCGAAGATGTCCCCTCCCGTATGATCTCAAGGCACCCCGATTGCCGTAAGCACCTAAGCTCAGCTGCCCAAAGGGCACAGAAGCCCAGAAGCCCAGAAACAAACGGTTGACCTTTCGGGCAAGGCGAAACATGGGGAAACTCAAGAGGTCAAAGGTCGATTCACTTTGGGCAAGTAAGGAAGGGGATCCAAAAGATGGTTCCGCCCTGTTCACTTGGCCATAGTCCCAGTGCCTGAAATCACCATAAGCACCTAAAGGGATCCCAAAAAAGAAGTTTCAACTGGTCTGCAAGTTTTACAAGACGTCCAAAGCCTGAAATGAGGCATCCACGGACAAAGGACTTACATGGCACATCCATACGCAAGATGATCAAAACACATACATGGTTAAACATGCTCAAAACACATTCAAAACACATTCAAAGCACACACACACACACACGTGCCAACACACACGTGCCAACACACACACACACGTGCCAACACACACACACACACACGTGCCAACACACACGTGCCAACACACACGTGCCAACACACACGTGCCAACACACACGTGCCAACACACACGTGCCAACACACACGTGCCAACACACACGTGCCAACACACACGTGCCAACACACACGTGCCAACACACACGTGCCAACACACACGTGCCAACACACACGCCCAACACACACGCGCCAACACACACGCGCCAACACACACGTGCCAACACACACGTGCCAACACACACGTGCCAACACACACGTGCCAACACACACGTGCCAACACACAGCCCTGGCCACCGCGCCGCACTAAGCCCAACGTGCCCCCCAAAGGTGCCGCCTTGGTCGTCTCCACTGAGGCCACCCATGCCTCTGCGAAGTGGGTGGCATGAGCCCTGGTCTTGTTTCTTAGGAACACCAAAGGGAAAACAGATGTGGCCATGGGTCAAAATCCAAATCGTACCCCCAGTGAACATCCCAATCCCCACTAAAATAGGTTCTACAATGGGTGGTGCGCCTACCCCAAAATGCTACCATGGGTGTTGACCCACAGCCACACGTTTTTGGGCCCAAAAAAGACAGGCCTA